TTGTAGCATTAATACCTGCGAAGGAAATCTTTGTAACACCACAACAATTCATGTTTTGAGCTGCTTCTTGGCTTCCCTGCTCATCTACTTCTGGGTTTCCGTTTCGGTTTAGAAACTCTGTACAATGTACGCGGTAGATTATATTTAAAATTCGACCATCTTCATTCTACATACAACAGAATAACTTGCATATCACAAGAGTGACCGTGCCTTTTAATATTACTTTAATGAATCAGTTAGATTCGTCCAAAACTGAACCCTCACATAAATGGCAATTTTAACCTAGCCGATCAAAGCTGCCTTGCGGTTTTTTATACTTTCCGAAAAGGATCTTGTTTAAAAGAATACTAGAAGGTAGATTCATAACGTTCACGATTTTGAAGTTTATGATAAATTTTTCATTGTAAGTTTATAAAGGAAAAAATATAATTAATAGTCTAGATTTAATTTTTGATTTTTTCATAGATTATTTAATGCCTTTTATTTGTAACCGAATTTTTAAAAAGTAATACATAAAAACCTCAATTTACCTCGTCCTAGCCTGCGATTTACCGTAAACGGAAACCCCAATGCAATGGTCAATGGTGATATGCCGCGGCCATCCTTTTCACCCAGATATATGGTGGATCGATGGGGCCGGGCTGAACAAATATAATGCGAACCAAAAAACCCCCATTTACTGCAAATACAAAATAAGAATTACTGCAAATAAGTGATAAGAATTACTGCAAATAAGTGCACAGTACCACAGCTATCTTTGTCCATATTTGCGATCAATGTCCCCACGATCGATCCCACTTCACATCCAAAGGAGGTTGAGGATCCATTAACGGGTGTTACTCGTAAAATATCTGTTCCTGGACCGTCGACGAGTCCAACTCGGCGCGCGTCCTGGTAGGTTGTAAACCTACAAGAGGATCCACTGATCCAGCTGCACTACATTTTCCTGCTTCGCATTCATTATGCAACTTTTTGATTTTCTCTGCTATTATTATTACAAATTATCAACGTTACTAAACTAATATTATTAGTGTTAATCATTAATGTTATTTCCTCGTAATAATAATCACTAATATGCACAACCATATCACGTATGTGCAAACACTACTGCATGATATCGACAAAAAAATAAGTTAAAATTCAGTTGTCAGTGATGCAGAAAGTTTTAAGAACCGTCAAGATATTTATCATATAATTTATCAGATCCTAGCCTTCATCACTTTATGCTTCAAAATTTTTGATAATTGATAATACATGAATTAGTACTACTACTTTTAACTTTATGATAAACTTTATTACATTTACACTGCGTACGTGTACATAACAGTGTACTTGTTGTATGTAATTGTAAGTATAATCAATAATCTATACATGATACAGATCGCGCGCGAATCAGAAGTAAGATGACTAAACTGAGTTTACAATTTAGTTCAAGTTGCCGGGTAAACAATTATTTACCGGCCGAGCGTGCTGCGCTAAATAACATATAAACAAATTTGAATCAATGTATTTTTAAACATTTCGTGTTAGGGCTAGGATTATGGTTAGCAACAAGACTTGCTCATTTTATAAATCAAAATACTTTTTATTTATGTGAACTTGAATTTTTATCTTTGTATTTTATATTTAATTTGTATTAAACTTTGTCCTTTTTCAATGGACTAGCCCGGCGCTATTGTGTACGTACAATTGCTTTGTATCACGTTGCGACCCCCACGGTCGTTTCACTTAGCTTTATCGTTTCACTTTATCGTTTCACTTTATCGTCCTGACGATACATGGGAGCCGCGCGGCGGGTCATACAACGTATGACAACAGTTAACAGTTGCCACCATACCTTTACACTTTACTGAGCCGCGCTCAGCCTGTCATTCCGCCGAATCTCTATTATGTTTATTAACAGGATGATAATTAATCACTCTACACTCGACTGTCACGTGACTTTTTCAACCCGTTCTCTAGCTGGTCCCGAACGACTATTTGAAACCCTAACCCTCTTATCTGATCCCAACCCTAACCCTAACCCAATCCTTAACAAAAGCATATGCTGAAACCCTAACCCTAACAAGAAATTAAACTAACTTCCTTATATACGGTCATATCACGTGATCGAGACAGTTTTTCGCCTATATCTCGTCAGGGGAGCATTTTAACCCTATGTCATGGGGGGTGATTCGGAATCAGCGTCCGAAAATACATCGATTGAAGTTGGTTTCAACTGTCGGGGGCCCTTTTAGAACAATCTCGAAGATCGACTGTAGAGTGATTTAGTACGCTCGTTATTAACATAATAGCCTGAGGTCCCCATGCCCAGTTGTATTGACCATTGTTAATGATCTGGCCCGGCGCGCGCTACTTCGTAGCACTTGCCGTCGGGCCATTTCGAGAAGAAAGCGGCGCGCGCTACTTCGAAGAAATTTAGACGAGTAACATCCGTCAACCAGTTGTAGCGCGATGCACTACTGGGTCGCGCCGCGCATCAAATAATTCTTCTCGCAATTCTTCGGTAGATCGGCGAGATGCACCACTGTGCCTCACCGAGCTGCGAAGGATTGACATCGTGAATCAACATGCCTAGGTAACCATGTACCTGTGAAACTGTACACAATATTTATTATATTGGGTTAGGATATTTTTGGTTATGATTTGCTCTAACCAGAGCCCTCTGATCTCGCTTGCAGTAGCACGCGATCCCGCCGAAGGCGGCAAAGGAGGAAATATTGTACTTGTGAAACAAGCGCGCGTCACGCAGTACGCGTATACACATGGCTATGTGAAGGTTACGATTAGTGTCGCATCGCGTCGACTAGGTTTCAATTCATTCAATCATGTGCTTTCGCACCACCCAGGAAAAGTTACCGGCTGGTGGTGGTACTAGAGTTGGTTTAATTTAAACAGACGGCTCGACCTCGCGCGCAACAACAAGCATGATTTGCACGCGTGGCGTATTCCAATGTTCAAGCAGCTACCACGTGACACAATTCAGCCAACCAGAGTACAGGAATCCGCAAAGTTAAAGTTGCAAACTTTTGATCGGCCCGAAAGGGGACTTTTCTGGAGATTTTGAGATAACTCAACAATTACGTTGTCTTGAATTTTCCTCCTGGAGAGGTAACGTTACTTTTAAAAGAGGAACATCTTACAAAAAACCGGAAGTCTCCAACTCTTTTACTTTCAAAGTTAAGCCCCACCCGGTCAGGGTTCCTGGGTGCAGCTGGCTGACGCCAAGTAGGGTGTTTTGGCCGTTCTAACTTAAGACTTTTAAGAATTAAAGCAGCCGTATTGATCTTCCAAACCTACAACTTTCAAGGGCTAGAATTCGCTGTATTTTGCCGTTAAAACACAACTTGATTCACGATGTCAATCCTTCGCAGCTCGGTGAGGCACAGTGGTGCATCTCGCCGATCTACCGAAGGATTGATGCATAACAACAAGACACGCGCTAAAGACGCGCATTTTCTGAGTGATGTTAACGATAGCTTTAGATTCACTGATGTCATTATTATTCAGCGTGTTCGGTAATAGTTTAAAAATCAGAAGGAGAAAACACATGTTTAAATTACTAAAAAAGGAGTATCACTTTACAGGATTGAATTTAAATATAGTCATAATAGATAAGAGAGGAATTTGTTTCCCTTTGAATCAATCAAACTAGATGAATTGTTGTAAATACTTAGATCAAACTATCAATCTACAGGCTATCGTCAAACATGTTGCAAGGCGTCATCTTCAGTGACATAATAGATAAGAGTTTATTAACTATCATGCCAACTTTAGAGACGGTAACCACATTAAACTAAAGTTTTCCCAATCAAAATAAAGGGTTTATACAAAATAAAAGGTTTATGCACTAGACTGCGAGACAATTAACCTTATGCAATGCAGGTTAGTATAACTATAATATCGGACTGAGTTGAAATTTCTGAGAGCATGATACCCCAAAATAAATATATGCCTGTGTCTGGCAATAGCGTTCAGATGGCTTCCGAACTTGTGCGGATAAGATAATATAAAAAATACAAATAAACTATAATAACAATCTGAAAATTAATGTATCAGTACAGATCTTATACTCGAAATCAGGCACTTTCAAAACATTTCTCTTAAATTATCTTTCTTAACACCGTTCAATTGTAACTTTAAATTAAAATATTATGATGATCCGGACGATGATAAATATTAAATTACAACTGATTATATTTATGGATTTCGGCCTGTCGATGCTGGAAGCTGATCAGCTAATCGTTAATCGTTACCATGTGACAAGAATAGTATGATGAACCTCCCAATCAGTATCTATGTATCAAAAGAAAATATTGATCTAATTCAACTCGTCGGGAGCCCTTTTGAAACATCTCGAAGTTAGAGTGCAGAGTGCATGATTACTGATTATCAGCACGATCGATTGGGTGAAACAAAGACGAAACCGTGTGTTGATTAGAATTAAAAGAGGAAGATATTTAGTGATAAATTGTGCACTCTTGCATTTAAGTTTTAATTGTTAGACTTGTTCGATGTAGGGCCTTTAATTTAACCTAATACTAATGCAGTTACTTAATACTTGGTAAGTCTAGGGAAAACAGGTGCTAGTTGTCGGAAATGAAATGGAGTCTGTTCCTGATCGAAGTTACATGATGCTGATAGATTTGATGCAGCTCAGCACTCAGCAGCCACTGTCTTCAAATAGAGTGTTCCAGTTCTGCAATCTGCAGTCTCAAATGTTTTCGCCCAGCTTTTCTTTTCATCGTGGTTATAGAAGACAGACCTGAAGAAATACTAGTATAATGATAATATAGGTAACATGTCCAGAATGAGTAAAATTGTATTATCGGCAAATTTACTTATGTGAAAACTCCCAACAGGGTGGCGCTGGCCCAGAAGTAACTGCACACAAGCAACCCTTTAATGATCACGCACGTAATTTGTGTGAAAATATGTAACTCATTTAACGAAGTCAGTGAAAAGAACCTACCTTTATTTACCAATGTCGATTTTTGCTTGTGATGAAGTAGTCCTCGCAAATGTGAGATATGTATGTAGTTTGTTTTTAAAAGTAGGATTGTAGTCATAGTCGATGTATAGCGACGGTAGTTTACCAGCAGCTCCCTGTACAAATAAAAATGTGGTTTTTATATAATATTACTAGTTAAATTAATGAGTACAATGCAGGAATAAAAAAATGTGTCTTAAATGTTTTATATTAAATGTGTTATAATTATATTAACCACCTTATATTCGTATAATATGTACTCACAAACAATGATAGTCCCAACTGTTTTTAATTGCTTATAATTTAAACCTTCTTATTAAATAATTTAGATGACTGTGTCTGATCTAAAATTGCACGAGAAATAGAGAAAATTAGGTCTCAGACAGAACTCGACCGGGATATAACCGGCGCAGCCGGAATACCGGCTGGTATTTGGCGATTTTGTACCGGTACCGGCCGGGATTTTTCCAAAATAAATTCAGTTTTTCTCAACGTTAATTTGAGTCCAAAATTAACAAATCTGTGAACATTTTCCTAAAACATTTTGAATAAGTCATTGAACAATGGAGACTGGAGTCAATCTATATTTAACATAATCATGGGTGTACGAATTATGGACTTCTTTCTAACTTATGACTTAATTATTGTGACTAAGTGTCACGGCTCACGGTCTTGTGTTACCGAGGGACAAGTAAAACAGAGTTCTCCGGGTAAAGAAAGCATTAATAAATGCTATTCAGTATTCATCCTATTCAATTATTCAGGTAAGGTGATGTAAACTGTAAAGTGATACGCTCCAACGTCAAACACCATGTTCAATTAAATAAGTTTAAGTAACCAATACCAGATCACAGGATTGTTATAGTTACGGAGACTGTTGGAAACGATGCAAACCAGGATCGGACTCCTATCAGAAATAGTCGACCACCGGTCCAGCCTCCCTCAAACTCAAATGCCCTACCACTACCCCAGACCACGTCCACCTCTTCAGCCAGGAACAGCGCTCCCACTATACCACTACCAGCAGTTCCTACCGCCTCAGAGGATACACTGCACGTGCCCGTTATTCCTCATGCCTCGTCTTAAATGTCCAGTCCATGAATCCTAGTGCATCAAGTGCGAGTATATGGGAAGTGCCAAAAATCTCAGCTCTTATTCAGGAGAAATCCAAAAACCACTCGTTACCATTTATTGCACTTACGGAAAAGTGGCTCAAGTCCTACATGTCAGACAAATACAAAATGTGCATCACCTCTTTCTCCTGCTGAGCAGAACCTCCCCCTTAAAAGTAAACAAATCTGCATCGCCTCCCAACGACAATCCAGATATATTAAGCAGCAGAGACAATCATTTAAGGAGACTTCGATATCTATCAGGATCATGATTTTACTGCCTGAGAACTCAGCACTTCAGGATGAAACATATAATATTTGGTTTTCTCGATTTCATTCATATTTAGACAGAAGTCCGTGTAGATAATTGGTTATAGAATAATTGGATATAATTTTATGCGAAGTTGTGTCTGCGAAAATATACGTGTGAACTGGTCATCCCGCAAATGCTGAAAAAGTAGATGTTACCTATCATAAAATAACCGCTCGCACCGTACAGTGTACACGACAGAGTTGTGACTGCGTTTACAAATTCTTTATCATATTGATGTGTTGCCATGGCAACCGAAACTCCATCGGAAGATCGGCCTGTAAGGCATAATCATGATAATACACAGTATCAAAACATTGCCATTGATATCATAGCAACATTCCAGAGATTAGATTATGTGTGTGTAAGAAAATGTATGTTATAGTATTATACAGTCTGCTAGAACATTCCGTTTACACATGGTGGCCGATAACAACTTGTTTAATTTATCTCCGAATTACACACAAATTTCTGAAAGTTTCGTAGACTTAAATCAATTACAGAGGGTGTGGCTATTGGCCAGCCCCTCTATTTCACTATTATGGTTGAAACTATAAGAATACAGATTATATTGTTACAGTGATTTTACAAAAGTCGAAACAGTAAACACCAATTTGTAGGATACTTTAAATCACACCAAAATTGGTCCCAGAATGCAATGAAATCTGATGGCGTCTTTTCAGTGAAAAAGAGGCCACACTCTCTGTAATTGATTAAAGTTTACGAGACCTTTAGAAAATGAGTTATATAACTTGCAACTTAAACTAAGATAAATTGAGTATTTATACTCAATTTATCTTAGTTGCATGAGTAATATATATATACTCTCATTTTTTTAGAGCAAACGTAATTTAAATGGCTAAACACAATTCAATAAAATTTGGCTCGATCCGATTATCCAAACTATCAAATAAATGCGAAAATGAACCTTCTTTTGAAAACAATGAACACAAATATGTTTCGATTTGACAAATTTCTCGAACCAGTGGTGGTAGTAAGTCATACCAGAACCAATTATTTCAATTGGGCACTCAGTGACTGAGCTATTAATGCCAACGTTTGCACACTGACTTTTGGCCCACCCTGTATATTTATAATATACGGCTGGAAAAAATGTAACTGGATATCTGCCACAATGCTGCTATTATTAAGGTTAAAGTAACATTTAGCACATAAAGAAGTCTGGTTTGCTAGGTTTTAATTGGTCGTATAATAACAAATAAAAATGAGTTAAGACTACAAAAACGGTCGATAGAACCTAATTATAATACCTGTATCGAGAACTCGACTTCAATGCACTGATAGCGTTGGTACTAACATTCTATCAAATTATGTCATATCTTGAGACTTGATAGCTGCCTGAAACAGTTTTGAGTCAACATTATCGTGATATTCTAGAAATTGAAACCAATTCTCAACTTTAAAAAAGCAGGTTTCAATAAATGCCATAGAATTAAATTCTACCTTTTTAAATTTTAAGAATTTGTTGATTTATTAAAATTCTGTCTCAATTAATATATAAGGGTACATGCAATGTATTTCGACACGCACTGTAGACTCACTTATTGGATTCGTGCTAGATGCTGTGTACGTCACCCTCTTAACCACCTCTATGGCGAAGATGAGGATGGTAAGTGCAAGTACAGTAATGTGAGGAGAGGATGGGTATCATTTAGCACATTTTTGCTGTAGGTGTAAAGTAGCTCTTAGTCAAGGAGTATATAAATGACGGCACGACAAGGTTCTGCAACAGATCTCTGAACATGTTATCTTGTGAGCGCCGAGTGAACACTTATAAGAACAAGGCCAGCGATGTAAGACAGTATCATTGACTTAGTCCATGCTGGGAGGAAAAAAGCAAGTACAGACGACCGAAAGGAGTCGTGGTTTGGGATCCTGAGTGGGTCTCGATATTGGATAGTGCTTTTATATATCGGACCTTATGATATTCTCAAGGTCACCAAGACGGCACAGTCTTATGGCGGGAGGTAACGGTACCATCTAAAGAGCAGATTGCTGAATCATACAAGTAAAAACTCTACCGGTACAGCAGTCTTACAGCAGACTGAGATTCAAGCGAAAGAATTGTGCTGTTATAATTATGCGGTTAAAGTTCTAGCACCGGGAGTAGTTGTTCACGGTTTGGAGAGAGCTGAGTAGGCTAGTACGGGATAGAAGGGAAGAAGCAGCTCACTGTTCCAGATGGATCTACTTCTTATCAAGGAAGAAGGAGTGGTAGGTATAGTAAGGAAGATTGGAGCCTAAGAGTTAACTTAACATCTAGAGGTACCACAAACTTTATCTCGTCGCCAATTGCGAGCTTTAACGGGTTTCCTCAAGTGACTCGATGGTTTAATTGTGACAAATCATGATACGAACTTTGATGAACCCATAATAGTATAGTGCAATAATACTATGATAGTATTCTCATAAGTTCTACCCTTGCAACCGAGTACAATGTACATACTAAGTGATATCAAGCTGCAATCTAAAATTTATTAATTGAATCTCAAAATAACTTCAAATTTTACCTAATAATTGCGACATCGTTGGAAGTGAGAAATAAAATACATTAAATTTTAATCCAATTCTGCGAGAGAAGATTTGCCCAGACAGCTGACAAGAATGTATTACCATACTTCCTGTAAATGTGGTAGTTATTAGGTCATATCAATCTTGAAAATTATGTCAAAGTTTTTCTCAGTCTCTGGTGTCAATCACCAGTAGAGTGCCCAGCCGCACCAAAACAACCTGCGATTTTTACGTGGGAAACATCGTATAATACACATGCTATACACTCTAGTTTTATAGCAGCTACTGATATCATGCGGCAGTATTAATAAGCATACAAATTCAGCGCAAAAAATTGTAAAGACGACACAAATTCATGCGGGATGTTAATAAATGTGTCCATGTTGAACTCAAACTCCGACAGAATAATATTTCAAATCGGATATATTATAATTAATCAAATGGTATCTGCTCATGTTCCGTCTATATAAACTACAAAACTTAATAAATTAGTGAAGTTCTGAAACAAAGATCACGACTAGGTTTTATCAAAATTGAAAAGAAAACCGATCGAAGTGCACTAGAGATATAGTTTAAGTTTAAAGGGTCATCATTACTAAAATCTCTTCCTAGCTCCTAGCAATCAAGTTGTTAATCCTAGTTCTACACCTAAACAAGTACAAAATTACAGCCTTACATTTTGAAATTTTTCGATATCCAGCTTAACATAAGACTTCGATACCAATAATGCATAATGGGTACATACCGATGATCGGTGTTCGTAAATATTTGATTATTTATAGTATTGAAGTTTAAAATCTTCCTAATTATGTAAGAATAACAAAAGGAATCACGTACTAGTGTGCTGTTACGAAAAACAACTATTTAATAAAAATAAATTAACAGTATTCGAGTACAAAATTAAAAATACAAACTCTAACATAATCGACAGACAAACTCAATAAATGAAGATTTCGTCGTGAAACGAGCTATATATACAGCTATAACGTAGCGCTCGACTCCAGTCTGAACCAAAATTAAGTCGCGTTCGTAGGAAATTGACCACCAGCTGCTGGTGGTTCGAATGTTGGTTTGCACACTACTGTGGTTGCGAGAAGCATTATTTGATGCGCGCGCGACCCAGTAGTGCATCGCGCTACAAAAACACAACTTGTACTGTTTCACTTCATGATTGGGCCGTAATTTCAAAAGCAAATTGGCAAGAAGTGGTGCTCACGGTCTCACTTAACGTCACTTATCGCTCAGTTAAGAGCGACCATGGTCTTAAGCGACAGACAGCCTGCAGGCATATGATCCGAATACGAAATATCCTTGTGTTCGGCATTTAGTAGCCCTAATTGGTTACTTCGTATACCCAGGAAAAGTTACCGGCTGGTGGTGGTACTAGAGTTGGTTTAATTTAAACAGACGGCTCGACCTCGCGCGCAACAACAAGCATGATTTGCACGCGTGGCGTATTCCAATGTTCAAGCAGCTACCACGTGACACAATTCAGCCAACCAGAGTACAGGAATCCGCAAAGTTAAAGTTGCAAACTTTTGATCGGCCCGAAAGGGGACTTTTCTGGAGATTTTGAGATAACTCAACAATTACGTTGTCTTGAATTTTCCTCCTGGAGAGGTAACGTTACTTTTAAAAGAGGAACATCTTACAAAAAACCGGAAGTCTCCAACTCTTTTACTTTCAAAGTTAAGCCCCACCCGGTCAGGGTTCCTGGGCATTTCACACTACTGACTACGGCGCGTTTGTTTCACAAATGAACGATAATGAAGTACACGCTGGGTAGTCAATGGCGTGCGCGCGTTGCAATTGTGTAAAAGTTCTCGTCAGAGCAAAATTGGGGTCACTGGTCATTTAACGGGTGATACTCGTAAAATATCGGTTCCATATATAGGACCGTCGACGAGTCGAACTCGGCGCGCGTTTTGGTAGGTTACAAACCTACAATGATTTTTGGAAAATAAAATGTATGCAGTCAAAATCTTTAACGGTCCAATTAAGCAAAACGTGGTTGTGTTGATTAGCTAACATGACAGTACACGTTTTAGTTTTCCTTGCAAACACAAAACACTCATGGTATGGTAAGGTCAGTCATTTTAAGCTTTGGGGTTACAATGTTAACAAAAAATGCGGCCGCTTTTCTTTTGTATATTGTTGATTGACGATGTCAACCCTTCCAAATCGTTGCTTTGCGAAGCATGCAGATCAAGAATGCTAGTTTGCGCGGCGCGTCGAAGCAGCGAAGTCCTACAAGTATGAAGTATATTGTGGATCATGGATGGCCGCTCAATTTATTAATCCGTGATAGCGTAATTTATTTTATTTCGTACACTTTGAGTCATGGATCGGGAAAAATTTTGATATAGTATTGTGGTTGACAGGTGGATCTGACTGAAAAATTAGTAGGCAGGGCTTTTTTGTTGAACATGTGTAGCATTCATGTTTGATTGACGATGTCAATCCTTCGTATCTCGCCGATCTGCATTAGGTTGCGAGAAACATTATTGGAACCAGCATTGTCATGCCGTGTATGACTGGACAAATAAAGACTTTGATATTTGTAACCTTAAATTTTCGTAGGCTCCTGCAGGGATTCCACCTGACCTCCAAAATTTCATGACCAAATCGACTTACTTTGCCAGCGTATTCCTCTGTCAAGTTAAATGTGATGTGTGTGTGTGAGTAAGTGTAGTGTAAAGAGATCCTATTTTTGTATCCAATTTGAATTCTAATAAAGACCCTAAGCATTATGATCAAATTTTTAGTACAATAGTTATATCAGGGTTGACATCTATGATTAATATTATAACCCAATATTCATTTCTTTTTCTCCCTTAAATCTAAACCCCCACTTAGACATTTAGCCGTGATTTAGTATTGAACACCCAAAATACTTACCGTCCTTAATAATCGTAAAGACCATTTGTTACAAAATAGCTGCTAGAATAATGCATGCCAAATATTCCCTCTTACACCCACAAATTATAATGCCTTTCTATCAACGCCTCTAATTTGGTCACTAATCAACCAGACTAGCGTTCTGGTGTGCAGTGGCGTAACTTAGGGCCCCGCAGACCCCGCTGTGCGGGGGGGCGCCGTATAAGGGGGCGCAATTTTCCTGAATTTTAGGCCCTTCCACTGAAAAAACGCTTTGTTTGTGTATTTCCCTGTCCAATTTAGCGTTCGGCCGACGCGAAAAAAATATTTGGGGTACCCTTTTTTGCTTCAGGGGGCGCAAAAAGCTGTAGGGGGGGCGAGAAAAAAAGTACCCGACCTTTTTTTTTTTTTTTTAATTTTTTTTTTAGGGACAAAAAATTTTAGGGGGGCGCTTTTCGTCACTGAGCGGGGGGGCGCCAACAAGCAAAGTTTCGCCACTGCTGGTGTGTACAAAAGCTACCAGCCAGTACATTCCTTGCCCTGCTAGTTGATTGTCAAAAAATCATACAGCTCAGAACAAACAGCCATTTACCACTAAGAGCATTATATGTTTTCATTTGTTTAAATTTTATGCTGTAAAATGTGCTAAAACTTTGATTATTTGTTTAATTGATTATTTGTTTAATTGGATGCGCCGCGACCCAGTAGTGCATCGCGCTACAACATTCATGTAAGGATATTGGAGCACGGGAATTCATTATCATATAGAGCTCGAGATAACTGCAGCAGTGGTATGTATATTGATTTTGGATAGCTAGGGTATTTTGGCCATGTATGAAATTATGGCTAGCTAGGGTATTATTATGCTTGAATATCGCATCGGGTTAGTGTGTTCTTTTATGAAAAATGCACTGTCAAGCTTTTGGTGTCCTACAGGCCTAGTACGTGCACAAGTCTTAAACTTAACAAGGTATGCCAGCCTATCACCAAACAGTACCCTAAGCTAGCAGTAAATAGGGAGCTTTCAGCTAATACGACCCAACTCTGGTCCAGAATACTAAATTTCCTTGGTGTCATTTAGAGCCAAATTTTATAAGTCGGCCATGGTTTAATTAGTTGATGCTGTAGCTATGATGAAACTTGTAAAAAGTAGCCAAACTTGAGCATCATATTATTCATTCCTGCATTAAACAGGGTCTGACCATTTTAAATTCAGCACTGCTACTTTCCACTGTGCAATTGTATATTATTACCCACGTTAAGGGGCCTGTTAATGATTAATTAAATTATTAACTATTTTAGATTTAATAATAATGTGCAATTTAAAAAAAATTGAGCAAGTACTGCTTTACCTACAGGACAGGGCTCATTATTTGATAATCATAACCATCTTAGGAAGATGTGTTTTAATTTCATACATGGCTGTATCTGTCATTTTATTTTAAGTGTTATGTCTGTTTTTCCTTAGTGCACTGCTTATGTAAACTGTCTCGTGACCTGATTTGCTGCATTATTTGCAGCATCTTTGTTAGTTCCTTATTTTTTACGAATATTTATCGATAAATTCCTGTAAAAAAATTGACTTTATTCATTAATTTATTACTTCATGAGAGTGCTTAAGTTTCAGCCTTACTTCACTCTATTAATAAGACACCTTTCTGGCTCGAAACCAGTTTCTGCAACACAATTGATACCAGGAAAGTTAATCAATGAAACAAAGTTGGTTTCTATTATATAATTCCACAATGAACTAACTTTAAATTGCCTGCCCGGGTCAATAAAGCAGTCAAGCATCATGTATGTTATGTTGAGCATTCTCAACCAACAAACGTGGGAACTCCCACTATAAAACATCGAAACAGATCTAAAGAGACATTAAACAAGTAATAAAATGGAAAAAAAGACTCAAATTTGTTGTTTATATAATTTAATTTATATAGCGTATGTTATTGCCCACGTTAAGGGGACTGTTAATAATTAATTAAACTATTAGCTAACTATTGATGATTTAATTAAATTGCATTATATACTGGACAATGGAGATCGCACACTTATACTTATAATATACACCCTTATACGCGTAACATCCTCCAGACTAACACTTCGCATTGTGTATGCATTAGCCATGATACTCCACCAGTACTACTGCCAGATTGTGTTTCATTACACCACATTGAACAGAAACCTTCACAACAGACCACATTCAATTAGTATATAATATGATGTTTCTCTCCCACCTATTCTTTGTGCTGTACAAAAGTGCATTTGGTTTAAGAGTTACTGTTTAGCTGTGATGTTTTGAATTATGTGTTTGGTAATTTCGGGAATTTGGATTAAAGCATCTAATGTTTGATAATGTGTTACATTTATTTATTTTTTAGCAAGATAGTGAGTTCTCAAGTGGGATCTGCTGTTTTGCAGAATTCAGTGCAAATGTAAAGTTATATCAAAGAAACAGCTTTCCTCTGCAACCTTACTGGTCTGTGAATCTATTGATTATTTAACTTCTAGTTATTTAATCTTTAAATTTCCATTGATAACAATGCCGTTAATCAGCATTTTTTAAAGAATCGATAACATGACTCTGTCATAGTCATCACGCTTCAATGAATAACGTTAATGTGTTTTAATTGAACATGTGTTAATAAATTATATAATTTGTTTATAATCTATTTTCAATGTATCAGGTGAAGTGGTAATACAATGAAGGGCCTTATCACTGGTACCCAAAAAAGACAGTATAAAACATGTGAGGCAGAGGATATTAAGCTAAACATTGCAGATAACTCAGGTGGCATTTCTTTTCTAGATTTTCATCAAATCTTACATTTAGTTTCTCAATTAATTATCTTGTAGCTGACCCTGGTCATTAGGAAAGTTCGCACGAGATGGACCACATTTTCCCATTTTAACTTTAGAAGATTGTCACAGGAAGAACTTTTAAGATAGGCATATGATATTTCACATATCTATAGTTCAACTAATTTTGTTTCGATTAATAAAAGTTTTGAAGCATTTAGTCGAGGGCAAATTGAGGCTAACGAGTCATTTACATTTTGTCTCCTAATAACACCTTCCAAGCATGCTATAAAAGTTTAAACATGTTTAATCGATTCATCAGATCTCACTCTTTTAGAATCCAGAGAGAAGAGGGAAATTTTTTCACTAATTGAGGGAAAAATGAGGCTAACAAGTTATTACTAATTTTTGAATTATTTTTGAATAATAGTGTCTATCAAAGTATCCTCTGACCTAAAATAGATGAGATTGATGCTCTAGATCGAAGGCTTTCCCAACCGACCCCTTGTTTTCTTCTAATGGAGGGTAAAGTGAGGCTAACAGATTATTTATAATTTTGAAATTATATTTGAATAATAACGTCTATCAAAGTATCCTCTGACCTAAAACAGATGAGATTGATGCTCTAGGTCGAAGGCTGGCCCAGCCGACCCTTTTTTTCCTTCTAATGGAGGGGGGAATGAGGCTAACAAGTCAATACTAAGTCATGAATTATATTTTAATAATAACGTCTATCAAGGTATCCTCTGACCTAAATTACATGAGATGGATGCTCTAAGTTGAAGGCTGGCCCAGCCAACCCCTTTTTTTCCTTCTAATGGAGGGGGAAATGAGGCTAACAAGTCATTACTAAGTTGTGAATTATATTTGAATAATAACGTATCCAAGTATCCTCTGACCTAAAATACATGATATGGATTCTTTAGGTTGAAAGCTGGCCCAGCCGACCCCTTTTTTCCTTCTAATGGAGGGGGAAATGAGGCTAACAGATCTTTTCTAATTTTTGAATTATGTTTGAACAATAACGTCCTTTAAACTATCTTTTGCCCTGGTATACATGAGATGGATGCTCTAGGTCGAAGGCTGGCCCACCCATTTCCTTCTAATGGAGAGTAAAATGAGGCTAACAGATCTTTTCCGATTTTTGAATTATGTTTGAACAATAACGTCCTTTAAACTATCCTTTGCCCTGGTATACATTATATGGATACTTTAGGTCGATGGTAGACTCCACCTACCCTTTCTGTCTTTTGATGGAGGGTAAAATAAGGCTAACTATCAAGGTTGTGTTCATTGCATTTCTTGTTCTACTGCTTCTTCGGACTAGCCCTTCAATTTCAAATTGTTTCTGCCTAACCTGTATTCATTTGAGAGGTAAGATTGAGGCTAACTCCTGCTTATTATAATATTTTATAAGTGATAGTTTTAATGTTGGATGCTTTTATTTTCTTTAAATAACTCCATTTTTGACCTATTTGAAAGCCACTTATTATTTTCAAAATCGCACATTTCAAAACTAATTGCACTGCTTTTTTTGAGCCTTCTCGCCAGTTGTACTACCATGAAGAGGTATTGATTTAAATATTGGAGTTATTCTGCAGCTTGACGTAGATTTTTATTCATTAGTGCTTCAATCAGCTTACATTGCGGTTTTTGGAAAAATGTATACTTATAATTTGTTTAAAAATATTTCCTTGCGTTTGAGATGTGTCAAGCAAAATAAAGACTTCCCTTGTAAAATTTCTCAAACAGTTCCATTTTTATTATACTTTATAGTTTAGAGTCTAATTTGGCATGATATCAGATCATGTGGTATTACATGGCCCCATGGGTAGCATTGCCAGAGAGCTCCATAGAAGTAAGGGGCCTACTCTAGCCAACAGCTCTAGAATACATTTCCTTCCTCAACTTCATTTTCTTCATCTAACTGCTGCTGCTGCTCAGCAACTACTTGACAGCTGGCACAGTGACGTTTTTCTGCGTAGTGTATCTGTTAGCCTCAATGTTGCCTCAAGGAGGGAAGGTAGCCTCAATCCAACCTCACATAAGTTTCGATAAAGTCTCAATAACCTTCGGGCTACAATTACAAGTTTTATAGTGGGTCTATAACATGTTTCCGTACATTAAAGTTAAAATGCGGTCAAATTCTTTATTAGCCTCATTTTAGCCTCCTACAAGTAGACTCGGCGATTTCTGAAATGTTGAGCTTGAAGAGGATGAATACATTTTTATTGTTGACATATTAGATAGTCACAATACCGAACCTGCTCAAAAATATACACAAAAGTATACTTGTTAGCCTCATTTCACCCTCTCAAAAGGTGGTTAGCCTCATTTTCACCTCGAATAATTAAAGCTTAGATCTCGATCAAGTATAATCACTATGGATTATACTTGCAACTTGGATATCATGGACGTAACACGAGAATGTTCTTTTTTGAAAATAATGAGTAAATTCGTTAGCCTCAATTGTCCCTCGCAGTTCAATCATTCCTACTGAGTCTTGTGAGTGAGCTAGGAGGTCGCCGGACATCTCATTTTTAAGCCGTATTAATTTTCTATACGCATACAAAAAATTAAATGCGAAACTAAAACAGAAATGAAATTACGGATGTTTTAAATTTTTTTTTCAAAAACGAACTTTTAGGGGTGTTTCTAATGATCAGGGTCAGCTATGTGTTTTGTTGATAATATTCTGACTACCTTGTCATTTTGACGGCCTCTAGCTCTCATTAAAACTTATTAATGGACACAAAATAAGTACAATAATAATCTTTACTATTTTTTTATTTGAAAATTCAATTAATTATTATATATATAAATCAAGCGTTACATTTCAGCCATGCAAAATTACAATGACATATTTTGATATACTAATTGATAAATGGAACTGCAATATAAGTTGCTTAATGTTTGGCCGGATGACAACTAACTAAAAGAGAAAAATAAACTTGATTACATAATAATTAATTCGGCTGAACCAACACATAGCAAGAGCCACATTAACGTTGGGGCCGTCTACCAAATTTGAATGACATACAATAACAAAAAATCAAACATATCATAAATAATTATATATGGATTTTGTTCATTACAATTCCGTCACAACTGATAGAAGAAAAAAGAAAGGACAAGCGGATAGGAAATTGGACGGCAGAATTGTAACCAACAAAAACACATTTGAGCTAGTCTGGCCAGACTGTATCGGCAGCCCAGAGGTACTTGATCAGATTGGCCTTAAAAGTAGAAATCCGCTCTGACTGCCGGATACATACTGGTAGACTATTCCATTTCAGCATAGATCTATGAAAGAAGCTATTTCGGAAGGCATCCGAGCAGGGCACAGTGGTACTCATGTAAGTTGAAGTATCCGACCTATCAATTATTTGAGCATTGTGCCTAGTGTATCGGGTGCCCTCTGGACGGCATAGGACTATATAAGTAGGAAGCGAAACTGGGATTATGCTATTCACTATTTTATAGAAGGTCATAAGATCGTTATAAATAAACTTCTGCATGACAGGGAGAATATTTAGCTTCTTTTGCTCTGTAGCAAGTTTATCGTCATTATAACTGGAGTAGGGTTCACCATTGATCCATTTAATAGCCCTCTTTTGGATAGCAACAAACTGTTGAAGATGAGTTGCAGATTGAGGGGACCATATGACAGAACAATGTTCAAATATAGACCTAATTAACGCCAAATAGAACGATCTTTTCTGCCTTTTATCAGTAGTGAAATGACATGTTCTCTTAAGTAGTCCAAGTCTGGAGTTAGCTTTGGAAACAAGCGCTTTACATTGTGCACCCCAATTAAACCTGGAGTTTATTGCGACTCCTAAATCTGATTGAGAGGGCACAAAGTCAATATCACTTCCAGAAAGTTTATAGAAGAAGGTATTGAATGGCAAGTTATCCAGCACGTTTCTTTGCAGGGACACAGAAAGGGCTTTGCACTTTTGTGGATGGAACTTCATTCGATTTCTCACTGACCAATCATACAATCTATTGATGTCATTTTGGATTATGTGATGGTCAGGGTAACCAAGAATCTCCCTCCAAATTTTAGTGTCATCTGCATAAAGGGCGATATTGGTGCCTTCAGAGACACAGGAGAACATGTCATTTATAAATATTACAAACAATAGAGGGCCAAGAATAGAACCTTGAGGGACACCAACCGAAGAGAGGAAGACGTTTGGCCTCCTATCACTACTTGTTGTTGTCGCCCCTCAAGATAGGACTTGATAAATTTAAGCATTAGTCCATCGACTTTAAAAATATTCTTTAATTTACTTAAAATGAGGTCATGCGAAACGCTATCAAAAGCTTTCGCAAAATCAAAATATATTATATCAGTCCTGGACCTGTTGTTCAGTGCAAGTGCAAGATTGTCCGTGAAAGGTATCATTTGGGTTGTGCATGAACGTTCATTAACAAAACCGTGTTGTCGGTCATCCAACAGATCAGAACATGCAGCGTATAATGCAGTCTTTATGCACCTTTCAAAGACTTTCATTACAAGAGATGTTAACGAGATAGGCCTGTAGTTCTCAACCGAAGACTTATCACCCTTTTTGTGCACTGGTACTACAAGTGCCAGCTTCCAATCAGGGGGTATGCATCCGCTTGAGAAAGACAGGTTAAATAAAACACTAAGTGGGTATGCAAGGCTTTGGGCACAGTTTTTGAGGACTTTCCCATGAATCCCATCAGGGCCAGGGGCCTTGTTAGGATTTAACTTTTTAAGAATCAACAGAACATCTTCTCTACTAAACACAAGACTGGAAAAACAATCATCACGAAAATCTATGTCAATGCCATAATCGCTCTCTTGAGAAAACTGCTCATAAAAATATTCGTTAAAAAGGGCAGCTTGATCAGATGGATTGTTTCGAAAGCGATTATGATATTTAACAGTTTCAGGGATCCTGGTTGACTTTGATTTAGACTTAACGTAGGTCCAGAATTTCTTGGAGATAAGAGCATCATCGGAGTCATCCTCAACACTGAGTCTCATTTTTTCGTCCATCATATTTTTAAATTTTGTTCGAAATGCACGAAACTTTTGTTTATGAGACTCAGAGTTGCTCCCCTTATGCCTTATTCTCCATTTCTCCTTATTTCGTAGGAGACGATCACATTCGGAGTCATACCATGGAGGCTGGAACTGAGACTTAATGGTCTTTTTAGGGATCCATCGGTCACAGGCTGCATCAAGAACTCCTCTGAATCGACTCCAGGCAAGATAAGGATCATTACACTCAAATATACTATCCCAATCGATGCTAAATAACTCAGAATTCAGGCCCCTAAAATTACCTTTACTATAATTAAAGATCTTTCTTTTAGGCTGCTTAATATACTTGGTCTTAACATCAATGTCAAATGTTATACAAAAGTGGTCGGACATACACATTTCGTTTTGATCTAAAACTTTAACATTCTTAATAAGGTTCTGAATGTTAGTGAACACAAGATCTAAGGTGTTGCCTGACTTGTGAGTAGGGGAGCTAATAAGTTGTGTATGTCCGAGGTCATCAGTGAGAAAATTTACAAAGCTAGAATGTAGCTGGCAAGATGACTGACCATCTGGCCAGGAAATCGAAGCTAAATTAAAGTCCCCTACCAGAATGTGTCTTTGCAACTTTCTGGCAGATGCTAAAGTAACAAAATGTTTCTTGAAAGATTCAAAATTATCTAAGCCAAGCGTTCCTACTCTATAGAATGTAGATATGCAAAAGTTTCTTCCACACTGAGTCTTGATTATGACGGATAATAATTCAGCTTGAACACTAACCTTTGAGAACTTTAGACTCGAGATATCAATGTCTGTTCTATGGGCAATCAGAACACCACCACCGTTTTTTCTGAATTTCTTGGGCTGGGTTGCATCCACTGGATGCGATCTTAAGGATCGATCAAGCCTAAATACTTTGTATTTGTCAGGGAGCACTTCATTACTGAGAATGGAATTTTTCAGCCATGTCTCGTTTAGAATAATGATGTGAGGCTTATGTTTGTAGATATAACCATGGAATTCATGTATCTTGGTCATATTTAGTGGTGGTGTTCCTGATGCTAGATCACGGGTATTTAGGAAACCATGGACATTATTGTAAACAACGGATAAATTTGGTCCAGGGTTCAGTAAGGAACAATTACAAATTACTATCAGGGAAATATTAAGGAGAGATAGAAAAACCAGACCACACCTAGACATGACCCCATACCAGCTGCTGGTAATACCGAAAAGTAACTTAACAGTCTGTTTCGGTGACATGGTAGGTGACAGTTCGGTTTTTGTGGTAGATAGCAATTTTACAGAAATTGCAGCTAAGGCTGTCCCAATGCCCCTCTCCCCCCTATACACAAGTTTAAAGTGTCTGAGAAAAATGGTACAAAATATTACCATAAAGTAAAGATTTATGGATGACCTCAAACATGGTACAGAGTGTATTTTAGGTTGGAGGGGAGCACTAGGGAGTATATTAGCATCGATAGTCAAAGAAAATATATACAAAATAACATAAAAATAAAATAGACCCAATAGAGCACATAACATATGACGAGACAGAAGACAGGACAACAAATTTTCCCCGTTACCTCTATAACTTTTACTGATGATAACATACCTAGAAAACATACCAGTTGCAACACGGTGTTGTTGAGCTGATATTCCCATAAAACTTATAAGTATATTATTAACAGAATTGTGTCTCGCCGTTGTGTTTTGTTAGGTATTGTGCTATAATATGAAGTAACATACATTATGCTATCACTTCGTTTGAATACATATAAATAACATCCAAATGATCAGATCCAATAGGATACTGATGCAGACAATGAAAAATTGAATTGAATTACCACATCAGTATCCCAATGGATTAAACCACTTTGAGTGTATAATTCTGAGATAGAACTTTGCCAACACTGGCATCCCAGCCTTGGGGCTGGGATGAATATCATAAAAGCCCCTATTGTCACACTTAGGAAATAATCTCTCGTTTCTGTTTCCAAAGCGGTCTAAGAAAGCCCAAAAAACATCAAGGTAAAACAGTTTATGCCTAGAGCAGCGATCAAAGATCAAAATATTCATAGCACAAACATTACCAGGGATTTTCTCTTGTCCGTTGGGGTGGACTGGTGGAATTGCTTGTACAAAAACACGTGCATTCGGATAAAGTTTCTTGGCTGTCTTCATAAGGTCACTCACAGGGGTCTTGAGATGATTGACACCCTGGGTACAGTACCGGATGTCGTTGGCACCGAAGCTTAAGAACAGTTTCTTTACCTGCACTAGAGGGTTCTTTGTATGAAAGGCCTCAATAGAGTTCTGTATAGCGGAGATCTTAAGCCCACCCTTAGCTATGTTGGTGACAGTTTCTTTACCTCTACTTAGGCGATCAGCGTCCAATCGGGCAGCAAAGGAGTCACCAGCAATGAGGATGATAGACTTCTGGTGTTTGTGGGAGTCTGTGATGGGAGCTTTTGGAGATACTTTATTAGGACTGTCGGATGTAGGAGAGGGAAGAATAGGAAATGAAGGGGAAGAGGGGGGTGTGGCTAACTTTCTGAAGGAGAGACTATACCTCCAACAAATTTCATTGTCAGAAGGTACATCTCCTGGGGCAATCCTGTGCCTCATGACTTGCTGTGCACCAGGCTTCATGATGTTCAGAGTGCCATTGGTGGCAGGGAGGGTGAAGTCTGCGTTAATCAACTCTCGGGCTGGCCTTGACCTAGAGGCCCTAGTTGTGCGTTGTTCTACTTGGGTTGTATCAAGCACAAACTCAAGCGACCGTGGAGCCCCTATTGAGTAAGTGCAAATGGAGCTGGACTGTGATATTATTAGGTCTTCATCATCTTTATGGAGGCTTAACTTAGCTTGCTGAGTGTCGTACCTAGTAACAAGGCAAGCATCCATGTTGTTGGTGGTGGAGGGGAGGTCATTAATAAGTCCCATCAACTTAAAGATGCTAGGGAAGTTGTTGATGGGATGTGGCTTGTTAACTATGTTTCCAAAACAGTAGTTTTCTGACGAAGGGCTTAGCCATAGGGTGTGGACTTTTTTAGGTTTGCCTTCAAGATTCATTGAATCTAATTCTTCTGTGATTGCCTGGAATAGACTTTCGTCCATTCCAGGGAGGACCGGAACATGCTCTACGAGCGGATGTGGGCTTTGCACGAAATTTTGAACAGTAGTTTCCTTCTTGTTTTTCTTTTCCTTCTTCTTTTCATCTATACGTTCTATTTTAGAAGCAAGCTTCTCCTCTTTCAGACTGTCCAGGATACTCTGAGTAAGGAGGGTATGCATATGTTGCTTTACTTCAATAGATAAGTCTTGCAGTAAGGTGAGAAAGTTGGCGGGCAGTGTTGGCATCTTGTTGTGAAGTGTGGGAGGATCAGGAGGAGACTGGGTGATCCGGATAAGAGATCAACAGCAGGATGTTTCAGTGGCACCGCTATAAACCATAGCGATCTGGATCTGAAACAGTTAATAGGCCAGAGATTTATAGTTCAGAGTGAAAAATTATGAATTATAATGAACAGAAGTGTTGTAAAGAACTGTATAGCAGAAAAAATAATGCAATACTTAATTAAGGGAGAAGTAGCTTAAAAAGGAGTCAATAAATTTCAAACATCACTAGATCTCTAACAATAAAACTAACCTCGTACCAGACCGCAGGAGCCCTGGTAGTACAAGACTACCAGGGCATTAGGAAGAAACGATTACCACCTCAACAACCTGTCATCTAACTCAAATCCATCACACCCAGGACACCGGCAGACTTTACTCCAGCGATTTACTCATCGGTAGCCATGCCTAAATTATTTGTTATATAGTAGTGTTGAAAGTATTAAAACTGTTCCAGGTATCCGTTCACCCAAAGCCTCCCCTCGACGCACCCCAAAGAAGCGTAAAAGTAGACCCTCCTTCAGAATCCCATCCTGCAAAAGGACCCTAGACATACCTTCCTCCCCCAACCTCTCAACTACAGACATACCTGAATTGGGAGATAGGAAAGATAATGAGACTTTCCCTAGTTTAGATATCAGCGACAGTGATGGTAGTGACTCTGAGGACACTGGAATCTTCAGTAATAACGATATTGAAGTATTATCCGTTAAAAAGTCGGCTGAGTTTTTGTTAGTGTCAAGTGAAACTTGTGAGGAGGACAAAGTGAAGGAAAAAGATGAAATCAGAATAGTGGGAGCTCCAGAAACTGAAAAATCTGATGATAAAGACAGCTCGGCAAAAGAAGAATTAGCTAAAGACGAACCAGTAAAAGATGACTCAGATCTAAACGCCAGGGACAAAGGCAACATAGAAAAAGACAAATCAGAAAAAGAGAAACCTGCAGAAGTCAAATCAGTAGACCACAAATCAGCAGAAGAAAAATCTGCAGAAGAGAAATCAACTAAACTTGACTCAGTTAAACTCGAGTCAGCTAAGGACAAAAAGAAATCTGATGACGTAGACGAAGGCTACTTTGACTCCTCCTACATCGACCTAGAGAAAATTCTAGAAAAACCAAACATTGACGTTTCAACCTCAACACTCCCCCCTGTAACAATAACCGTCACAGGACTGTCACAGAACTATCACAGAACTGTCACAAAAGACCTTGATTTAGTTGATATCCTCAACAGAGACTTCCAATCTAAACTGTGTCTGACAACTGGAGTGCAGACAGATAAAGTGGAGGGTGAGGGTGAGGGTGAGGGTGAGACTAAGAGGAGGAAGGTAAGCAAGGCGTGTCAGATAACAGATGAAGCGGTCAACACCCTCAATAAGAAGTTATTGAATCTGCGGAATAAGCTGAATAAAGTAATAGTTGAGAAGGATAGTGTTGTTGAGAAGAATAGTAGGTTGGAGGGGAGATGCTCGGGTCTCAATACAGAGAGGTAATTGTGAACTGTTATCTTTGATTTATGAGGTTTGCTTTGCGGGATATATTAACAACTAAGCTTAGTGGTCGATGTTTAGAGCTCATGTTTTGCTTGAATCGAAACAAAGAATATTCCACATCTTCATACCATCAACATTCTTCATACCACCTACATCTTCATCATTTTATCCCATACTGCAATAACTTTCATTCTGAATCTTTTAACGAAGTAATCATACATATCCTCAGATTATCACTACTCGCCCAAACTGAAGCTCTTCAAAATGAGTGCGTTAAGAAGATGTACGATAATGACAAACTAACAGAGAAGGTATGTGATGACGTCACTTTGATGACGTCACAGCTGATAACGTGTTTCACACCACGTGTTTCACACCACGTGTTTCACACCACGTGTTTCACACCACGTGTTTCACACCACGTGTTTCACACCACGTGTTTCACACCACGTGTTTCACACCACGTGTTTCACACCACGTGTTTCACACCACGTGTTTCACACCACGTGTTTCACACCACGTGTTACACACCACGTGTTTCACACCACGTGTTTCACACCACGTGACCCGTTTGTTTAGTGATAACCAGGCTGCCAAGTATTTCTTCTTTCACAATCATTGATGTTATACAGTAGGTTTAAAAATTACTAGGAAAAATTGAACCTACAAATATCAAGCCTAATATCTCTACATTCCCTATAATTTATGTTACTGTGGTCTTTTTTAAAATGTTAGAACTGTACATTCCACAATCCACATGCAGTGAAAACATTCCACTGTTACGCTATTGTAAAATATGCAATCCTTATTAAATCTCGAGAGTGCGCAACCAATTTTTCTAGAATGATATTAAAATACTAGACATTATACAATGACTTGTCTGATTCATTACAAAAAAGCTATTATTCAAAAACGAGATTTTCCTGGCATAACTTGCCTTCAAATTATTGATGGACGATCTTAAAGATATAATAATTTGGTTATGAATACTTTAGTCCTGTGTGATCCTGTTTATTATTATAACTTTTCATCAACTTATTCAATTAATCAATTAATCTTTTAATCAATTAACCAATTATTCAATTAATCCAGGTATCACAAAAAGAGTGTCACGTGGCAACACTAAAAGAGTCACTAGTACTAAGAGATAAGGAGCTTAACTTGCTACACAGACAACCCAACAGTACTGCTGGACTTACCAAACAGATCAACGGTAATTTTATATTATGTAATAATAATATTTATTTTGAACAATTGAAACAATCAAATTGGCGGGCATACGATCTGTTCATGGTATAGAAAAAACAATACCAATCCTCAGTAAATAATTATATTTAGTTATATTATTAGTTATTGTGATAACTGTGTAATGTTACGTTTGAGTAATCAATATAGTGGTGGGGAGGACACGTGGCACGTGCTATACCACGTGCTATACCACGTGCTATACCAGTATTCATATCTGTAACTTTTTGTTATGCTGGGAATTGTTTTAAACTAAGTTGCTGATTATTGTCCGCTACAGTTGGTACAGATCAAAAATCAATAGTTCCCACAGTCAGACAACGAATGAGTTAAAAAGTTCCAACAAAACCCTTATAATATCATTGGTACAGTAGTTAGTACTAATTACTACTTACTAATTTGTACTAATTTCTATTTCAGAGTACAGAGAACTAGAGATGTTAAGAGTAGATAACATTCGTTTACTGCACGACAACCGCGCTCTAACCGGTTCTCTTGACTCTCTTAACGTACGTTACTTTTATTTATAATTGGTTAATTAATCTTACTTACAAGTAAATTACTTCCACACGAATAAGTCTGTAGTTACCTTTGCGCTTATTTATTTCATTGTTGACACTGATAACCTAGTTCAAAAATCGGCAAGGAGATATATAATAATTATAATAATATGCAATTAAACAACTATGAAATTTTTATTGTTACGAATGAAAAAATCGATCAAAATATTTAATTAATTAATAACATAATGACACTGTCAGGGTCAGTTATGTGCGCTGAGACGAATCAGTAGGAACTATGACGAGTGTAAGGACAGTGTTATACTAATGAACAAGAGATTAGCTCAAGATAACGGGGTTATATCTGCTAATTTGAGTAGTGTGAAGAGAGAGCTGAAATCTGTTTCTCAGGTGATTTGCTAATTAACTAATTTATTTAAATTAACTAATTAATTGAGTCATTAGTTGTGCTCGTTAGAGAGTATTTTTTAAAGATTAACATCTATTGTCTGGCTATTAAAAATAAAGCTTTAAATGATACTTTGATCCATGGTTGTACCTAGTAGCTTGTAGCTTTATATAGCTTATGTAAAATTTACAATTGTCATGATGAGCGGAGCGGTTCTACAGATTTGCTCAAAAAGATCAATCCTTAGGAGAGGTTTGAGTACATTCTGCAGCACTACATAATGTAGTGCATGACATTGCAGTTGTTGCGCAAACACCTGCAGTTGTAATTGTGGTCCTGCAACTGTATAATTCTTAAGGGAAGAGGTCCTTCTCCGAGTTGTGGTACTGTTTGTGTAGTAGTTGTAGTAAATATCTAATGTACATTATATTTATTGTACAAGGTGGCAGATGTTTTGTGCTTTTTAGTGGCGCTGCGATAATTTTAGATTGACTTTATCGTATTTTTAGAGAGTTAAAGCTTTGAAGGGTGTTCTGGAAACTGTTATTATCGAAATCATCCTAGAAAAGTCACATTTTAACATATGTGTACGATGTCTCATGTTATATGTTGTCTCATATATTATGTTGTCTTATATAATATGACCATAACAAGTATCAAATATAAAATGAGGCACACCTGCGCACACATGTTATCAATAATACGGGGTATACAATAATATACACAATACACTGCTTATAGTGCTACAGTGTTCTATGTTGAAGGTTTGATCCAGGGAGCTACACTCCGCTACATCTCCTCCTCCCCAGTTACAGCTGCTGTTGTCTTGCTTTTAGATTGATACTGTCTTGAGAAGTTTCATTTTTAGTTTCATGAGCTTTGTTTGATAATCGGCTGTTTCACGGTCAGTTTGTAACGGAGTTTATAGTTTAAACTGCTTTTAATAATGTTTTTAGTATCGCCTAAGCAGCTTAGTAGTTTTCGACTTCCTAATTCCAAAGTTTGAACTAGCAGGGAACTTGAAAAATGGTGGAATTGGTTCACATTTCAAGAATCGTTACAATAATGTTATTTCCGCTTTACTAGTATTATAGCAAAAATGTACGTTACTTTCCCACCAGCAGTCAAGTCTGTTTCAAAGTTATCAGAAAATGATGGAAATGTTGATGCCATAAAGGACTAAAGCTCCGGACGTTCACTTCTTATCTCATCTCTTGTCATTATCTCGTCGTGTTTCCGTCTCCCTCCCAATTACCATGACTAGACGAATGTTGCTTCCAACCATACTGGAATGTTCTTCATTCCTAGAGGTAAAGAAAACGGAGGGGGTTAGAGGGATCAGGGAAGAGATGGATTAGAGAGGGGTGAGATGGGGTAGAGATGGGTTAGAGAGGGTGAGATGGGGTAGAGATGGGTTAGAGGGGTTAGAGATGGATTAGAGGGAAGAGATGGGTGAGAGGGGTTAGAGAGGGATCAGAGAGGGATTAGAGGGACAAGGAGCTTCAAGCTATAAATTTAACATACCACATACCCACACCAGTTCTGCCGTTTTCTGACAAAAGAGTTTAAAGATCGTAATATTTGAAATTTAGAACTTTTTTATCCAAATTTCTTTGTTGGACCGAGAACTATCCCTGAAAACTATCAGAAAACTACCAAAATGTGACAAAATAATTTAAAAACCTCGAATTTTGGAGTTGACTCCCTTTTGTCAGGGAACAGCTGCAGAGGAGCTGATCCAGGCAATCGCTTATAATTAATTAATTAATTAATTAATCGCTTATAATTAAAGATGTTAAATTTTAATCTGAGTTTGTTTTGATGAGGTTAGTTTGATGGTCGCTATCTTGATGAGGCTACACTACACTTATATAATATATACACTAATACACCTCACTACACTACGTCACTACACTGTACACTGTTCAGAGTATCAATTATCATGTTCTAACAGTGGAGTGGTTAGAGTGGTTATTATTAGTGGTTACATGTTAGTTTGTTTAGTGTAATGTGAACTACATCCTCTAGCAAGGCTAGCAAGGACAAACTTTAAAAGTTGTAAAACCAAAATTAAATAACAATAAAGTAAGAATATATTTTAGTACCCTGGCTCCCAACCACCCCCATATATTTACTGTAGTATTGTCTGACTATTCAGCCAAGTTCTGTATTGTAATGCTCTGTAGTTTCATCTAATTTAACCTTGTACGGGCCACAGAGAAACAGCAAATAGTAACATATTATGTACAAGATACCACAGCTGTAAGAAGGGTTATTGTTGGGGCTCGTCTGTGGTTATTGTACAACATGTTTCTTCTATTGCAACAGAGCAACATGAACACCTGCACCCTGCAGTCTGCAGTCTTGGAGAATCAACTGTATAATACATTGGGGGGGGGGGGGGGCTGTACCTGTTTTAGTGTCATATCAAACTGTGAACTGGCAATGTTTACAGCACATTACAAATTACACAGGTGCCTTCAGTATAGGACTGTGGTGGTGTGTACAGTTAATTCTGGTCCACTCTGTACATCTTCACTGATAATTCCTGTCTGGTTACAAACGGGGGTTGATTATTGTATGTGTCACGTGACTATTGTTACATATTGTGTATCCTGTGTGTATTGTTTGTATCATGTCCAGACTAGTAGTTTAGTATTTACTAAGTTATTACTTTACTAGAGGTTTGTCCTGTCTAGGTCGATCCAAATGTAGTCTGGAACGAGTTTCGTGACAGCGCTTCTCCCCATTTAGGTTTGTAGGTTAAACTGTCTAGGGTGTCTGATAAACTCACACTCTGAAGTAAAGTGGAATGTTACAATACATACCGTGTTATTTATTAACACACAATAAGTAACTGTTCAATATTTTACCTTGTATTTGAATAGTCGCCATAATACGTTAACACTATGTGAGCACTAAAGCATGGATTTCATTGTTGTAAATATCACCGTGTAAGAAAAGGTAGCAATCATTAAACCATCTTTAATTGTGTCCGCTACACTACACCCTTATACACTGTACTAGAATACTACACTATACTACACTATACTACACTATACTACACTATACTACACTATACTACACTATACTACACTATACTACACTATACTACACTATACTACACTATACTACACTATACTACACTATACTACACTATACTACACTATACTACACTATACTACACTATACTACACTATACTACACTATACTACACTATACTACACTATACTACACTATACTACACTATACTACACTATACTACACTATACTACACTATACTACACTATACTACACTATACTACACTATACTACACTATACTACACTATACTACACTATACTACACTATACTACACTATACTACACTATACTACACTATACTACACTATACTACACTATACTACACTATACTACACTATACTACACTATACTACACTATACTACACTATACTACACTATACTACACTATACTACACTATACTACACTATACTACACTATACTACACTATACTACACTATACTACACTATACTACACTATACTACACTATACTACACTATACTACACTATACTACACTATACTACACTATACTACACTATACTACACTATACTACACTATACTACACTATACTACACTATACTACACTATACTACACTATACTACACTATACTACACTATACTACACTATACTACACTATACTACACTATACTACACTATACTACACTATACTACACTATACTGCACTATACTACACTATACTACACTATACTACACTATACTGCACTATACTACACTATACTACACTATACTACACTATACTGCACTATACTGCACTATACTACACTATACTACACTATACTACACTATACTACACTATACTACACTATACTACACTATACTACACTATACTACACTATACTACACTATACTACACTATACTACACTATACTACACTATACTACACTATACTACACTATACTACACTATACTACACTATACTACACTATACTACACTATACTACACTATACTACATTATACTACACTATACTACACTATACTACACTATACTACACTATAATTATATACTATTGTATACTGTGAGCTCTACACTTTATTTACTTGCACTGTTCAGATTATTATCTGAATAGCAGGAGTTATTAAATGTAACAATTGTAACTAATGTAACAGTAAATTTAACAGTAAATGTAACAGTAACTGTAACAACAGATGTAATTGCCTCACATATTATACAATATATTACCCCCTCTCTTTCTCACTCTCAAATAATAGTAACGTTGAGACACTAATATTATAACAGACCTGCAGTAGTGTTGATTTGATTAAATAACAGCATTATTATATCTGTTATATATAAACAGTATTATATCGCACCTGTTATATAGTGTCAACCTATTTATAACACAACATCTCTAATAAATGTGCATTCTGTTGGCACGTGACAGTACTCCTGAGGTTTGATTGGTTAACAGTGGAAGCTGATTGGTTAATCGCTGTCACGTGTGTAATGATAACACACGGCCCCCACTATCTATCATCACCTGTAGATTGTGCTCTTGTAAATTACTTGACCACTGTCAGATAAGTTCCTGGTATCTTGTGTAAACTGACCTATACGTAGCCCTACCTCCATAGCTAAGGGGCAGGGGTGAAACCAGAAATACCGCGATGAGGAGGTTGCCAAATGTCAACCCAACTCGATACGATGTAAATTGTTGTGGTGCTGGATTGCTGAATACAATTGCCCCAAAATCAAATTCGAAGATCAGCTTCCTTTGAAAAAGAAAAACAGCAAAATATTTTAAACATTTGAAAAGATATATTGAATTCATGCGAATGAACATAAATCTACGCCAGTAGTTGTAAGCAAAAGTAAAATTTAAAGTAAGCAACTTTAAATTTGATATTACTACCACTAACTTTATCAGTTGTACACTAGTACAACGTTTGGTTCCGCTGCAATAGTTAAACATTGATAGTATATCTCACTATTTTCACATGATCAAGTTATAATCCTCTTCATTCTTCAACCACGTGCAATAGTGAAACATTGACAATATATCTCATTACTTTCACATGATCAAGTTATAATCCTCTTCAACCACGTGCAATAGTAAAACATTGATAATATATCTCATTACTTTCACATGATCAAGTTATAATCCTCTTCAACCACGTGCAATATTAGTGAAATATGACAATATATCTCATTATTTTCACATGATTTTCAACCACGTCCCTCTTCAGGAGCACCAAGAGACACTAGAAGAGGTACGTTACTTGCGCGCGAGCACAAAGCGCAGTGCTGATCAGTGCGACGCGCCCCATAAGGACGAGCTGTGTAACGATGTTACGGAAGATAACAGAGTGCTGTGTAAACAGAACAGTGAGCTTAAACATTGTGTTGGTGAGTTATTTTACTGATTTTTATGTGTTCTTAGTGGGACTCTTTCCTGTTTTTGCTTGTTTTAAATTTTTCTTTTTCTTTTTTTTTGTCGTGATATAGTGGAGAGAAAACTGTAATTGGTTAAGAATTATAATTCTTAACCAATAAATTACAATAGTTTCACAATATTTTTGTGTAAGAAAGAAGTCGTTTTGGCTCCAATAATTGCTATATAGCCTCGTACGTAATTAGTAATTATCTTTTCACTTAAATTGGAGTCGATGGTTATAAATTATATAACGTCTTACTCTCCTTTTGTTAAATAACCTTTTCAATTATTGATTATAAATTGGTACAGTTACACCCTATTACACAGCAAAGCTTAAATAAAAATTCCTAAACCGGGTGTCCATCCCGCATTATGCTAACCTCAGCTAAGCTATCAATTAATCACTTAACAGAATAATTAGTTACCAATTACTCCATTAACTAACAGAGATGCTACGCGGGGAGGTTGATACTCTACACACGGAGCTAAGTAACACTCGCTCTGCTCACTCTGCATTTGATAAGGTACTTCAGGAGAAGTGCGACCTTCAGAAACAGGTGAGAGCTGGTTAGAGGGAGAGTTATTATTATTTTTTAAGAGAGGCTGGGCCAAAATAGCCCACGAGAGGATAGCATTGAGATGCTCTGCCTACCTCTGGGGTGTGGCAACCCTGGGGAAGGTTGCCGGAGAAATCAGAGTGAATGGTGGAGGATAGTGTAAAAAGTGACCTTCAGAAACAGGTGAGGCTGGTTGGAGGGAGAGTTATGGAAATAGAAATGTGTTTAGTATGATTAATTAATAAAGTTAGAATTTAAGACAAAATGTTACATTCGAGTATGATGTCTAGTAATGCAAATGGTTTTGAAATAACTTTTTCTTAAATTTACCAGAATTGTGAACGTTTTTAAAATATTAAACCACGCTGCCACGTAGTGTAACTATGTGTCTTAGAGTGTAACTATGTGCCAGGTGTTATTTAAATAGGTTGTTCCTCTACTACATTATATAGAATAGGCTTTATTATTAATTTCATCCTTTTTAGTGATAGAAAAGTGTTCTATTGTCATTTGTCCAACAGTTATTGCCAATAACCTTGTACATTTCGTGTCAAACAACAGAAGTGACTATGGTTCGGATGTGTGGTCCATATATCACTACAGTTAGAATACAATAGAATATACAGCTACATAATAGTTGTGGTGTTTTCCTAGTCATAACACTGGAATCAGAAACTAGTTATCTAATATAACCCTTAATTAATCACACACCTTGTTAACAGTATAGTTAACAGTATAGTTAACAGTATAGTTAACAGTATAGTTAACAGTATAGTTAACAGTATAGTTAACAGTATAGTTAACAGTATAGTTAACAGTATAGTTAACAGTATAGTTAACAGTATAGTTAACAGTATAATTAACAGTATAGTTAACAGTATAGTTAACAGTATAGTTAACAGTATAGTTAACAGTATAGTTAACAGTATAGTTAACAGTATAGTTAACAGTATAGTTAACAGTATAGGGCCAGGGGTTACAAACCCCGACTTGGACCCTTGAAAAAGCAAGATCCCGACAGGCACCATAGTGTTTTGGCATGTTACACCCTAAAACCAGTAGCTAGCAATAAACATTAAACCCTTCTACCCCCAGCTACAAGACGTAGAATCCCGTAACGATGAACTTTGGACAAGCGTAGAAGATTTACGGCACCGCTGTGCAGAACAATGTGACACCAACAGACAACAAACACACGAACATAACATAGTGTTTGGGGAGAATGAAGAGCTGAGAGCTGGTAAGGAAGGAGTACAAATTTCAAATCTTAAGCTACAATAGTAACCATAGTAACTACAATAGTAACCATAGTAACTGTCAAGATAATAATGATATCATGCCCCACTCCATTACACTGACAATATTAACAAATAATTAAATTTCACGATATTAAGAGTCTTGTTTTTATTTAATCAGGTAATGAGGAGTTGAGTGAGAGGGTGGAGGTGTTGCGGAGGAGATTAGATGAGGAGGTACAGAAGAATGCCGGTATGGCTAAACAGGTAATATTTAGCAGCTCCGTTTAGTTGTATCACGTGATTAACAGCTAAGTTGTCTATGTGATTTACTTTTGATATTGTATGGAAGTTTAGAAAATACTGATATCTTACATAAGCTTTGTATTGGTGTTGTTTAACAATCAAACCAGACTAAACCTCGCCCATGTACCTCAAACTCTGCAGATAATTAACCAGCTAATTGACTAATTACTTAATCACCCTACTAGATAGAGGAGTTGACGTGTTCACTGTCGGACGCGAACCTCTCAGTACAGGATCTACACAACACCATGGAGTTTCTCCAAGTGGAGCACAGCTTTATTGAAGCTGATGTGGTAAGTTGCTACTAATTAAATAAGTTGCTACTAATTAAATAATAAAATAGTTCCTTCAACTTTAACGTAGTTTTAGTTTAGTGTCGTGATTTGTCGTGATTCGTCCGTTTTAAATGTCTTCATTTTGATGGACATGAAAATCGCAATCTGATATTAATTTTCTATCATCATTATGTAGACTACTCCCAGATTTGTTTCGTCCGTCCGTTAAAAGCTATTCATATCTCACAGCTTCTCATTTGATACACTACTTTAATTATATTTAAACAGAACACTCCCTTTTAATATAAAACATCTTGCCTGCTTGCCCTGTACAATAATTTAACCACCCTTGCAAGTACTACTTGCCCATACATATATTCAACACATAAAGACATAAAATCAACGTTGGAATATTCCGGACTTTGTCAAGGTGGACAGATTGCTCTCCAATTAAATTCCACCTTGACAACTTGCTCTAATAAGGTTTATAGTACTTTATGTGTCACGTGTTTTAGTGCTGGTCACGTGTTTTAGTATCACGTGTTTTAGTATCACGCGGTTTGGTGCTTGAGGGTGACAGGTTAAGGAGAGAGTTGGGCTCCATGCGGTCATGATTCACTATTTTAAAGTGGGCCTGAATGTGGTTATTGGAATAATTTCAGTGGAATTATAGTGGAATAGTGGATTATAGTGCAGTGGATTGTATAGTTATACATGATTTAATGAATCCTCCCACGGCCCCTTACATGTGTATTAATTGGAGCATGCTAAGATTCCACTGAAACTTGTGGTCGTTATTCATTTAGTCATTAAATAATTATTTAAGTTATCATGAACATTTATGTTGTCTTGTACCTACTAATTGAGTCTAACTTTGAAACTGCCTACTTGGCAATGGAATAACCTGCGTTTCAACTCGTTGAATTTTAAAATTAAATTTTGATAATATGGTTTTATAGAAGTTGTGGATGAGATAATATGAATAGCTATTATTGGAATTGTGCCAATGAATCACTAAATTATACGCTGTAATACAGCATGATGTTATAACAATCTAACAATGGTAACTGTCCAATTCTTTGTTAGTAAAATTCTAATATTCATACCGTTTTGAGCTAATAGCTATAATACAGTGTATGTCACGTAGAATCACAGATACTAGATAGTGTGTATATTGTATGAGCCAACAACTCTACACAGACCCACAACTATACCTCGCACGTCCCCTATTACTACCAGGAAAAGCTTACTGTCACGTGACTAAACAATTATGGTTTCGAGTGCAGTGATTGGTCGATTGTGTACCACGTGGGGGAGTTCTGTGCTGTGATTGGTCAATTGTGAGGATGCCGGGAAGTGCAAACTAAGTGCAAGCATGAGGCTGCATCTTTTGTTGGCTCGAGTTTTTGTGCAAGATTTAGGAATGAAATGTTAACTTGTATGATGTACTAATGTATAAGGGAAAATTAAGGTACTCAAAGAAAAGTTTTACTTTTTATGTTTAGATCATATCGTCCGTAAAATTGTATACAATATAAAAACTACAATAAATTATCTAGAAAATGTACGTAAACAAATCTAGGAGACCTCAAACTTCAAAGCTTATCTTCTGAGGGATGAGGTTTCTGTTTAAATGCTCTAGGAACTGGATTACTTAAACTTCAAATACCAGGAAAATAAGAATGAGTCAATACACGAGCTTAACGCGAAGATAGAAGAGTTGAGTAGAACGAAGGAGGACATGGTCACCAAATGTAAAACTAAGCTGAGAGAGAAGACTAAGAAACTTAACGCTTCAAGAATTAAACTGGGTGAGAATTCTAAGTTAAATATGCGATTTATCCATCTTGTTTCGATTGAATTGTATTCCAAAACAGATAACTCGTATTTTTCCAACTTTCGCTTTGTGCAAAATATCTGGTGTAACGCGCCAATAAAATTTGAATGGACTTTTTCAGCGTTTACTATGACAGAAAAGCAAAATCGCGCGCTTTGCGCGGCTCACAATTCCATTAAGGCCAGGAACAATATAATTGTAGTTGAACAACATCAAATGTTGAATTGACTGGCAATGCTGCCTAACTTAGATGAGGTCACGTAACATGTTTAACTTTTCAGGGTACGCATTACTGGAGATGAGGGAGTTGAACTCACACGGATCATCTTGCTCAGAGTGAACTGGCTTCACAGAGTAAAACCTAAAACCTAGTTAATTTCTCTAATTAATTTAACTAATTAATTGGATTAAATCGTGTGGTCAAAATTTGTCAATTATGAGACCGTTGACCACGGCTGGCCGGGGAAATTATGAATGATCAGAGACTGTTTGTGGAGCAAAACTCCCAGATTTTTATATTTGATGTGTGGGTCCTAGTATTCAGATCACTTTTTCAGAAAATTGTGTGCAGTATTGTGTTTATTATTACTTGTTGTTGTTATTATTGACACGTGGTATATTTACTCAAAGTCTTCGACTTTAAGGCTCGTTTGAATTTGTCGATATTGTAACTGTAACTTTATCAAAGATGTGTACTTTGAAAAGTTGTATCTGAAATGTTCAGACTTACTAACTTACTGTTTTGATTTTAGTCTAATATATTTCAAATATTTCTTTGGCCGAAAAGTATGGCCTAGGCCCTCCCTTGTTTTTGTTGGGTTGGGTAATGTCGATTTTGTTTGTAACTAACTTTGATTCTATTGGGATTGGATATCTTAAATTGTGGATTGTAATTAGTTCAGCTATTTGATTTTGAAATAAATAAAAATTATCTTATTTCTAAATGGGCCTGGGGGAGGGGGAACTCACTAAATTCACTGGATACTCCCTTTCTATTGTTTCACATTGATCAATCTATCAGTTTCCACAGCTACAAGAATTAACACCGCAAAATGGGTGCCAGAATATATTAGCGCTGAAACATTGCACCTGAATACAGTACAGCCGATAAAGAACGCAATTACTTTAAAACGACAATACAACATCACATGACACCAATTAGAAATGACCGAGTGATAAGACTACATTGTGTATGATACAACCGTATCTGTTACGGTGACGTCACAGTGGGTGCCAGGAAAAAATGAGCTCTGAAAATTTGTACAGCAGATAAAAACACTACAATTTGAATTACTGAACACATCATCACATGATACGACTGCAGGATAACCGCGTATCTGATGCACAGTGACGCTAAATTAACAAGCTCCGCTTACTCACCCTTCTCTTATTTTCCTCACTTGTTGCATCATGTTGCGTGTTTTGTTGCTTGTTTTGTTGCTCGTGCTCCAGTTTCAAAATGCGGGTGAGTTTCTGAGCTTATCCTTGATACAATGCAGAGTTTTATAGTTATGCTCTAGGCCGATTGAAATTCTGCCTGGAAAGAGTTGGTCCCCGGGATCAGATTTTTACATGCTGTCAAATCCCACAATTCTGCTGGTTTATTACGATATTGATTATACTTAACCATTAACTGAGTAATTGGTCACTGAATGAAGAAATATTCAGTCAAAACTATGAAATTTCGGTCCATTAGACAAAAGTTTTTTTATTTTGTAATGCTTTTATATGAAGAAACAAATAAGAAAATGAGAAAATGAACAACTTCCCATTAGCATCCAGATTATGATACACTGATAACTTTAATGTTATCTTAATTGATTTTAATTAGTTAATTAGTTTAAATTGAATTAATTTGTTGCCAGGCTGCTACTTGGTGTGCCAGTACAACTTCTTCAGTCTTTCTCACACCAACACGAAGTTTACCCCTGAGAAGTCGTATTATACTTTAGAGGACGCGAAATCTAACTGTAATGCGGGTAAGTCGCTTTATAATTGGTTCATAACTGGTTCATAATTAACGTATAAATTGGTTTCTAATTAAAATATAAATCAGTATATTGTCAGATGTAAGCCGAGTTCGGAAAGTTCTATTTTTATTCACGACTTCGAATGAAAATCCTTGTTAATTACCATAGTATACAATAGCCCCCCCCCCCCGGCACCCCCCCTCCCCCCGGCCCCCCCCCCCCCCCCCATACAATAGATACAAGTTTTAAATTTGCTGTCAGGAATCTATCCCTGTCATGATCATGATAAAAATAACAAATAAATAGTAATCTACCTCCTGCAGATGTTGATTGTAAGTCTATCACTAAAGAGGGGAGGCCAGATTCAGATCCTTCTCCTAGATATTCTCTCCGTAAAGGTTAACTGATTATTTTAGGATTGATCTCCAACAACTGACATAGAACGCTGTTTTTGGTGACTGGCTTTAATTGATATTCTATTACAGTACCTATCAGTGTCAATGACTTTTTTCAACGAATCATTCCAATGTCCATAGTTGAAATAGTTGAAACAGTTGGGGTATTTCATATTTCCAATAATATTTGTGTTCGCAGGAGAGCAGACATTCAGCAGTAACGTTGAAATGTGCTGGTTAAAATCTATTTGCCTCTCAGCAGGTTTGTCAACTTCAAGTTCAGCTGCTGTTCCACAATTCACTCACAGCTGCTGTTCCTTACTTCACTCACAGCTGCTGTTCCTTACTTCACTCACAGCTGCTGTTCCACAATTCAATCTACAATCAGTATATCACACATTAAAAGTAACTAATATTCCACTACACTATTAAGCTAGATAATATATATAAACTATAAACTACAATCTAGATATACCAATATAATGCTTTTAGTAAAAGGTTATAAGGTCTTGTCTAGATAAATTATATAATACTACGCTGTATTACTATTAAAGTATTACTTATTAACTTTATCAAATCTTTTAAATTAGCTTCATTGATGAAATTATTACAAACTAAAGCTGTGTAATCGTTATAATTAGCGACAAGTATAACAAACAAGTATTAATTGTTATTAGATGACTGTTCGGTATTATAACCATAAACTATCGCTTAACCAAGATATCAAATTAAAATCCTATTCCTCAAATTACTAAATTACGCGATGATCGTTATCTCAAGTAGTTACAACTACAAATAGAACTTGAGGACGGTTTAGACTAAACCGTCCCCAAGTTCTATTTGTAGTTTTAACTTGCTTTTCCCATTTTTAAGCTTCAAATCTTAATAATATAATGGATTATTTTCAGGACCTTTAGCCTCGTATCATGAGTTTCCAAATCAATAGTTTATGCACCACAGCACATACCAACGGATCAGTAACCCAGCACAACACCCTCATTACAAATGAAAGAATGAAGTAAGACAAGTTTCCTGTTACCACTACAGTTGCCTATTGTCTTGTTCCTTTGTTCGCGTGGTCCCACCTTACTTTACATTGTTAAGTTTTATTGTCTTTTGTTTTGTGAGTGAGGGTGTTATTTTGTTATACTCCCTGCTGACTGCTTGCTCGTACAGTCCTGGTAAACACTAAACAAGCTGTTCAACTATTCGACTGTAGCTTGGTTTTTTGATGTTTTTTAGCTTTGAGGTTGTTTCCAATTGCAAATGTCAATTCACTTTCTATCACTCGTATAGTCGGTTCATATTTATTTTTATTACTTAGTTTTCATCGGTTCATTCTTCTCTTTTTTCTCTTTTTACGTTTAGATGTGAGTATGAATCGTGAAAATTTGAAAAACTTGAACTTTATAACTTTTATGCCGGCTCCAAAAGCAAATGGTGTTTCTTTCAAGTAGTGTCCGGTATGGGAGTAACCGTTCTCCCAATATTCTAATTTTATACCTATCTAACGCTAGATACCGCTAGATGTCGCAAAAAAAAGGGGGAAATTTTATGAAAATAGCGCTATCTGTCGCCTGGCGTCAGTGCTGCGTGCTTAGCGTCATCTAGCGTCATCTAGCGTCATCTAGCGTCATATAGCGTCATATAGCGTCATATAGCGCTAGATAGCGCTAGATAGCGCTAGATAGCGCTAGATAGCGACATTCGAAAGGTGCCGTGCACTTAGCGACAATGTCGCTAATTGGCGTCATCTAGCGTCATCTAGCGTCATCTATCATCATCTGGCGATATTTCACGCTAGATGACGCTAGATGACGCTAGATGACGTCATATGTCGAATTTCAACTATCAGTAAAGGTCCAGTTCATTTACGTTCCATTGGAAAGGCGAAATAGCACAACTTTTAGAAGCTTGAATTATTGAACTTTAAAGTTTAAAGTCGTCATGAAAACTCCTATTCTAATAAAATATAAAACTCTATAAAAAAACTTGAATAATAGTTAGTTCTTTAGAACCAACATATAGACATGAATGATGAAACATTTAAGTACACAACCAACATTTCATGCGGTGTAGCAGTTAAAGTTGTATAGGCACGGTTAATATAGTTATTAACCATTGGAAAAGGTAACGTACTATACAGATACTGTGAGCATCATTTCTAATATAAATAACTCTTTCGTTTGTAACGATAATTAGCGTCATCATTTAATGTTTTGTCGTCACAATATCTTGCTGTGTATCTGAGGATTGTGACGTGCTTCCGTTTTGTTCCCGTTTTGTACGCAATTTTAACATTCATTCATTTTCTAGATCACGTGACAGATAGGTAAACTTATAAAAATTTTAATTGTTTAAATCTTTTTAAAGACTTTTCTGGCGTATCATGATCGTCCAATGTAACTGCGAGACCGAGAGAGCCAAATAAAAAGGATTATTTTATACCGCACTATAGTTACCTGGGGACCCCAGGCTATTATATTTATGTTCATAATCATAGAATAGAGATTAGGCGGAATGACAGGCTGAGCGCCGCCCATTAATATTCTAAGTAAACCATAAACGAAACGGTCTTACTATACCGCAGAGAAACAAACCTAAGTATAAGAATATTTAATAATCTTATGAGCTTATAGTTATGACACCCAATTCCTATATTTCGTGACCACATGCCACAATACCCTATAATTTCCTTCCTGCCAGGTACTCTCAATATACTCAAATCCATATTTTATCAAAATAGAACCCTTCTGTAGAATGTCAATGGAAGGGTAGAAATTCCCGACAGGTGACTATTCTATGACTATACTATACTACTATACCGATACGACTATTCTGCAGATAAGATTTGTATCGTGTAATCTGTATCCTATTTATCAATTGTAGCCGCTTACCTTCTCACGAGAAGAAGTAGTTGTAAAACTACTACTATCTCATGATATGAAAACCTCAGGAAATGTGTAAAGTTATTGTTCACTGGCGGACCAGGATGTTTGTTTCTGAGAAATAACCGACCATATAAGGTTACGTAACCATAGTAACACTACCATATAAGGTAATGTCCCCATAGTAACATTGCTATACAAGGTAATATCACCATCAGGAACAGGACTTGGATATCTGTTTACAGTTGAAATGTGTAGTTGAGTAGTCCATACAATCACGGTGATATTGTAATGCCAATGGATTATGCTCAAGTTTCAACTGTAATGGATTACACACATTACATATTACCTCCTGTATTCCGTCTTTTCCTGTGTTTCTGTATCCTTACCTTGGGACTTCAGGCTTTTCTGTTCATAAACATATTGAAAATTGCGAAGGAATGACAGGCTGAGAGCCGCCCAGTAACTGTATTCCATTTCCTGTATTTTGACTTTTCCTGTATTTCGACTTTTCCATGCTTTTGTGGATCATTGTATCGCGCCCTCTTTTGATTGTGATTTCCCCTCGAGGGTGTGGAATTGTGAGTGCTTTATTACTTTATTAATTTGTAACAAGTCATTTTTATTTTTTAGGGTTTTTGTATTGTCTATCGTTATAAACTTGTCTGTAGTCTGGGAGTCACGATTTAACTTTAGGCAGTCGTGACTCATTGTGATTGCGAGTAATTTATAAAACAATTCATGAAGATCCACAACTGTGATAGGTTCACAATAATTGTAGTGTTGAAACGTTTTAAATCAAAGTCTTCATTGATTTGTAACTTCAAATATACCAATTCTAACAGACTATTCCAAGAGTTAATGACCAGTCTCCCTGGTTACGTGTTACCTAGCCACGTGCTGCAGTTATCATAGTTACCTAGTCACGTGCTGCATTTACCATATAAAGTAGTGTTCAGAGTGCTGACACCTTGTTAGAACACGCGATACTGCTATCAATATCTCCACACCATGAGGCTTCCGCTTATTTACCGTAAGTTATTATTACTCAGTTGTTATTAATAACAAGGTTAAGTCAAAACAATTTGTTAAGTTGATTTTATTTAATTAGATTATAAGTTTCGTATTCTATTTATTAAATCATGGAAATAATTTTTCTATAAACTATAAAATGTTATTAAATAAACTAAACTAAAGTAAAATAAACTAAACGCTCCTGACAGGGGAAGTATCTGACTACACAGTGGGTGGCGTGTGCGGGGGAGCAGTACTTCTTGGAGTTCTTCTTTCCCTCCTCTTCTGGTGGTGTTGTTGTAAACGGAAAAGTAAAAGTGCGTTTTTTTACTCCAATTCTCCTATTCACTTTTTAGCTTTAGTTTATTCAAAAGCAAACAGCCCGGATAGAACGAAAAAAATAAATAATTAGCTTTCGATTCGAACGAATTAAACTCTAAATGAAAATCATCATAATTGGATATTTGATTGGTATTAAATAATGCTCCTCTAGAACCTTTAATGCATAATAGTATCATTCTTCTTATAAAAAAGAACAATTTACAACGAAAAAAAACAATAACACCATTATAATTTATCTCTTTTGTAGGCTATTTTATTACATAAAAGTTTTTCAAATGTTTTTGCATGTAGTGATCGTACTCCTCCCGTAACGTTTTATTGCCGTTTGCCAATTTCTGTCAATAGTTATGAGGCTAAACACTGCCAGTATTATAATGAAATAAAATCTACGGTCGCGCTTGCCAGTACTGTGATTCTCAGTTTAAAAAACATTTTTATAACGACCAAATTCCTTTCATTGGCAGTTTGTAGCACTTGGCGAACTGCATCATAGTTTCTAAAGCTTGTTATGTGGTTTAATTAAAATTCTAATTAATTTAATTCTAATTAATTCTTCTATATCCTCTTCTAGAACATTCTAACGGTGAAAATTACTTGGCTCCGCACCAACTCAACAGTTATGAGATCATTTGAACGTTTGAAAAAAATATTGGCTGGCACGAGAGTATAATTGGTGTATTTGGTCCTAGCTAGACGTGACGCTTACGGGATCAATTACGTGACACATCACGTACCGTCTAGATAGGGTCTTGCTTAGGCGAGCAAATTTTAGACAACCAGCCTACTCAGCAGCTGATTCTAAGGGTCACGTGACCAGATTTACACAACACGTTACACACAGTATTTATTATTTGAGTTTTTGGTACAATACAGTAAAAGAGTAAACTACGGTTAAATCAGAAGAGAGATATAAACTTTTAGCCATCCCCAAAGAAATTAGAATTGGTTTTGAGTTTGAGTTTACGTCGCTCCCTTTTCGTACATAACGCACAAACGAACGCACCCGCACCCGACCCACGGATTTTTCACTAATATTAAAAAGATAATCCTTCATATTATACTCTTCCAGACCCATGCGTTCACTATAATACTAGCATAAGCCCGTCTAACACTATAAAGTGGTGGGTGAATTAACTTTTTATATTGGGTCAGACTTTACCATTGTATTGTAGCATAAGCAAGATATATAACAATATTTATTTAATTTGTGATTTTGACACCACTTGGGGGTTTAAATTTCGGAACATAAAGTTTTTAATTCTTTGCCAATTTGTTTTTCTTTATACTGGTATTCGACCCAGCCAAAAAAGTTCCAATGGTATATCTTTCACGGTTCTTGCGGAAATTCGTGTTAAAGTTTATGTCGTGGTGTCAGTAAAATGGCAACAGATATATTATATATTTATGAAAAGTCTTTAGCAACTGCTCTTCATAATATTTTGAATAATTTCTCAAAAAATATACACTTTCTGTGGGCCACCCTGTATACATATCGTCTTGCTTTATATAGTAAGATACCCATATAAACGGCAAAGAAGTATCATTTAAAGATTTAAATAAAACGTAATGCATAAATTTCAAGATTCTCAAAATATCTCAAAACATACCTTCGGACATACCTTACTCACCTTCTCCCCACAGATAAGCAGAAGCTGAAACGTAGACCCGCTATAAAAATGAAACAGCCGTCAATTCCGAGCCCAATCGATAAGGGAGTGATTGAACAAAGTAAAAACAACTGTTTGTTTGTTATAAAGGAGAAAGCTAATTGTCCCTTGTCTCCTGTGCCACCTCCGCTGGTAAGTGTTCTAAGTTGTTACTAATGAGATAATTAGTCGTTACTAATGAGCTAATTAGTCGTTACTAATGAGTTAATTAGTTGTTACTAATGAGTTAATTAGTCGTTACTAATGAGTTAATTAGTCGTTACTAATGAGTTAATTAGTCGTTACTGATGAGTTAAATAGTCGTTACTGATGAGTTAATTAGTCGTTACTAATGAGTTAATTAGTTGTTACCAATGAGTTAAGTAGTCGTTACTAATGAGTTAATTAGTCGTTACTAATTAGTTAATTAGTATTTACTGATGAGTTAATTAGTATTTACCAATGAATTAATTAGTTGTTACTAATGAGTTAATTAGTTGTTACTAATGAGTTAATTAGTCGTTACTAATGAGTTAATTAGTCGTTACTGATGAGTTAATTAGTATTTACTGATGAGTTAAATAGTCGTTACTGGTGAGTTAATTAGTCGTTACTAATGAGTTAATTAGTATTTACTGATGAGTTAATTAGTATTTACTAATGAGTTAATTAGTTGTTACTAATGAGTTAATTAGTTGTTACTAATGAGTTAATTAGTCGTTACTAATGAGTTAATTAGTCGTTACTAATGAGTCCATTTATCATTAATAATAGTAATGAGTCCATTAATCATTCCTAATGAGTCAATTAGTTAATTAGTAACTTATCTCCTAATATAATGTATTCTCCCTCTTCAAGAGTCCAGCGAGGATGAGGAAAGTTCGTGACCCCAACACTGCAATAATTCCAATACAACCCTCCACTCACCCCAGTACCACATCAAGTGTGTCTGACATGCACGAAACTGAAAGCAGAATAAAGTAACTATTATTGCTATTCTAAGTATTAATTTATTAATTATTAAATTATGTTTTTTTTAGTGGTTTCCGTCTGAAGTGGGCACGATACAAGTTTATTTAATAAAAAAATCATAAAAGTAAAACTACGCACGAAAACGTTAAGGGTGCTACTATCTACTAAAGTTAGAATAGAATATAATTTGAATAGAATATAATTAGAATAGAATATATTTAAGATAGAATATACTTCTAATTGATAATCTCTGTTTTAGTCGTTTAGAGAAGAGGTTTGAGGAAGGGAAGATAGCAAGCATTAAAATAAATGTGTTTCACGACGAGAACGAGCTGGTGATTACTGTAGCTGAGGTATGTTCTTTAAATGCAGCTATTTGAGAATAACAATTTGCTTTATTCAGCGTTTTGTGGTAAAGGACTAGATTGAGATGATAATTTAAATTAAAGCCAATTCAAGTTGTATTGTCCTTAGAATAAAAAATCATGAAATACACGCTTCCATGTAAAATAACATTTTAATACTGATTGATTTTGGACACGAAGGGAAACACACAAATTTGGCTTGGAAACTTCGTTTATTACATCGCTAGAGCCTACAAAAAAGAAATAAATTAGTCAGATAAAATCAATCATAATACTCAGTCAAAGAGATTCAAAAATTTATAAAAAGGTCATGATTAGAGAATATCATGAAAGTCGATCAGAAATTGGAATACGATAAAATTGTTTCACTGATAGCGTGGTAGATAAAATTTATAAAGAAAAATGACGCAAAATTGGCACAAAATTGTTAAAATTAATGAATTACAGATATTGGTAAAAACCACAAAAAAACTACCTTTTAATTTCCATCCTATTTAAACCCCAAACATTAGTTCTAAACTTTGCACAAAATCTAGCCTCTTCCCTATCTAATAGGGAAGGTTTAGTCTTTTTCACAATCCCGAATTTGAAACAGTCAAAACTGAAAGTGTCCTTGTGTACATCGTAACAATGCATTGATAAGGCTGAGTGCTCGTAGAGGGCACGGTCGTCAATGTTGAACTTGTTCCGGTGCCCATTGAGCCTAATGTGGAATGGAGTCAACGTCTGCCCAAAGTAAGTGTCCTCAGATCCCTCAATAGCCCTACACTGCTGGCATTGTGCAACGTAAATAATGTGCTTATCTTTGCACGTGAGGGATTCGTCTAGATTAAGCTCCATGCCGTTGACCATGATCTTAGAGTCAAGATCGAACAATACCGGGCAAGTCTTGCATCCAGGGGCTGAGCACTTCTGTGATGTTTTTTGGGGACATTCAGCCTTATTTCCAAGTTGTCGATTCTTCACTACCCTGTTTCCGATTGAAGGATGTTTTCGTGTGGCAAATATCACACGTATATCTCCACATATCCTCCTGATGTCCGGTCCAAGTTCGTGAATCAACTTCTTCAGCTGAATGTTGTCCGAAGAGTGTTGTACTGAAAAGACTAAGTTATCAGCGTTCTCACTCTCCTTAGACCTGTTGGCTCCGTGGGTGTTCTCCAGTACTCTGACAACTGCTCTCGGCTCGATCTCCTCTAACTTAACGCTGTTATGTCCGCTTTTAGATAAATCTGCTTTCAGCTCCATTAAGTCTTCTACACAGGTTGAGTCTTGCGAGTTCCTTTCTATGATTCGTATCATCTGGGAAAACGCCACAGATTCGAATACATGGTGAGGATGAAAGCTATCCGTTCGCAAGTAATTCCTAGCATCTGTCTCCTTTCTGTAGAGTCTATATTGGATCTGGTTGTAAGTATCCAAGGTTAGAGTGATGTCAAGGAAATTAACAGTTTTACCGATTTGTTGGTCAGCAAATCTGATTCCAAATGGTTCTGCCAGTTTGTTCAGTTGCTCCACATTTTAATACACTAGGTGAGGTCAATCCACTCTAGTATGAACTACCAAACTGCCAGTGTAGAGTTAAGACGGGAAAACGGGAAATCTGCGGGAAAACTTCTACCTGTCAAACTGGTGCAGAAGTCTGGGAAATTGAAAGGTTAGTTGGGGATCAACTTTGTATTTTATTTACGCTGGCTTTTAAATCATCACACATGAAAGCTTTTTGGTCATGCCTGTTAAACATAAAAATATAATGCTTGGTATGTTCATAAATGATAGATGATGGGACAAAGTAACTCAAGTTATAGAAAATACAGGTGATCCTCTGTGATTTCTCAGCTTCAAATCACAATTTAAGATCAGGAAAACAGTCCAACTTCTTCATACTGGACAGTGTCGTGTCCTCGTGCTTAACTATTGAAACAAAATATTTCCTTGTGTTTAAAATATGTTTTGGATAACATCCACCGTTCTTAACCACTCCTCTCATCAAACATACCCTCACAATCTGAACAATCAACAATGAACAGGAGCAGACAAGAAGTACAGGTTCCCCATGTCAGTGGAGGACATTAGCAAGTACAAATTTAACTTCTACCTCTGGTCCACAGACAGCTATTCCAGGTTAGCTAGTTGTAGTGTTGAACGATCAGTTCGTCCTGTAGAACGTGAATATCGTTTCCATTTATTTATTTTCCTGCTTTCCTGGGACAATTAGATCGAGCTTTGGACTTTTTAATTGAAATGGCATTGACTTAGGTAATTGTTACTGCACCATAAAAGATGATTTAGGAGTTATGTTGTATTTTTGTTAAAGTTAAACATCCAGTAATTTTATAAAAAGGACAATGTTTTGCTCATTTTCTTCGGTGGATCGAAAGCGTTCATCTTTGTTGCCTGTTTCATTCTCAACGCCCCTATCCGAATTAGATCTACGATAAAGTTTTAGTGATAATTATATCACGAAAACGAAAAATTGTGTCGTTATAACGAATGTCCAAACCATGGTTTACTTATAGTTTAAATTAATATAATTTTCAGAACCTACCAAGCTGGAAACTGCCTATTCAAGTTCGAACCAGCAGATTTTGCTGAAGGTGAAGGTAAAACCACATCTGGGGACTTTGTTAAGAGCCAAAAAGTGAGTTCAATTATTTTAAACCAAAAATTAAGCATTGTATTTGTATTTAAAAAATTAAAGTGGTCCCTAATTGCTCCCTGATTTTACTAATCGGTTCCTAAATTCCCTCTAATCATTGCTAGCTTATCACCTGTTAATCACCCGCTAATTATACTTAATTACCCAGGAAGACACAACAGACTGTCCGGAAGTTTCAGTGACACTCCGTTACATCAACCGGAACAGTAAGCTAGTAGTTGGGATCCAGTCAGTTGCTAATGTTCAGAAGACAGGGTGGAGGAGATTTGCTACTGCGCTCTCAGATAGTGCTCTTCTTCGTTAGTTACTAATTGGTTAATTAATTAATTTTAATAAGTTAGTAATTAGTTATTGATTAATTACAGTGATGTAGTCGGTAATTGGTTGATATAATGAGTGATTCAGATTAAACATTTTTTTTTCATCATACAAAATAAATATGTATTTTTATTGAAAGCGAACAAATCAAATTAATATAAATTAACAAATTAAGAAACTTATAAATCAAAAATTTAATAAATTTGTAGAACCACGGCCAGTTGTGAAGATCACCCTATCTGATGAAGATGGGAACGTCAGGGACACTCAGCGAACTGACCCGATCAAGGGTTATAATATCAGGTTAATATCTATTCTCAAACACAAGGATTTATTCTATTGTGCGATATATAAGCTAATTGTGATTTATGACAATGATTTGATCTCAGGATGATTCAATAAAAATTGCACAATGTTTCTAAATTGGTTGTAGTTTTCTAAGTTTCTAATTATCGTTTTAGTTACAGCGACGAGAAAAGGTTTATGTTTGACGTGCCCCTTCTGGAGCTTAAATCACATGTTAAACTTACTCTCGAACTATCACACTCGAATATGAGGTTAGTCTCCGTACTAGATCTATAAATAGACCATTTAAATAATCACTATTCAGCGGGTACGATCGAGACAGTAGACACCGTGTTGTATTGTTGGGGTTAACTATTGAAACAAAATATTTCCTTGTTTTTGAATTGTGTCAACCCCAGGGTGGCTCACAACAAGATAGGAGAGTTAGAGTTTAGTTGGGAGAGTACAGGGAGTGAGGGGGAGCACTGGCGGGAAATGATCCAGGTGTTTAGAAATTTATTTTAACAATCTATCAATTAATTTATCAATAAATATTCTATATTAATGCAGAGTACAGTTACATTATATTTATATCGATCGATTATTATATTGAATATTTACTCACTCTTGTTTTTTGAATATTAAATCAATTCTATTATTATCGTCAAAAATGCTTTTGATCGATTTTGTCAAAATTCTAACCGATTTCCTTATGAATTGTTTTACTTTCAAGCTACTGTTTTAAGTTATAACTAATGAAATCTTTCAGATGATAAGCTCAGATCAAGAAGTCCCTAAAACTCACTTCATAAGAAATCGAAGCAGAAAATAAACTCCTTGAATTTTGATTTTATGCGGTACCATCAAGTATAAGCTATCTTTGTAGACATTTTATTAGTTTTCAACAGTTTCTAATTTTATCTTTTTGTGTTTCATAATTTTGAAATTTATTGAGCTATCGTTTGGAGTAAGTCGTACTTTTATAAAATATCGATTGTGTCCAAGATTTTAAAATTTTCCAATTGCAAGTTTACTATGATATGAGTGATGAAATACAAATTGAAACAAATTTTTGAATAGCGGAGAAAAACTTGAAACACAGTAACCTGAAACATTAAATTCGGCAAATGTCAAATTACTGCCTTTTAAAACGGGTATCTTTTAAAACGGGTGCTTAAGTGCACTATTGTTTTTTAATACATGATATTACTCTTCAACCTCGAAATCCTTTTTAAACTATTGTCCCTGTCACCTCCACCTCACACAGAGTCAGAGCACCTCTCTGTACTGTTATTCTAACTGTCGTCCCAACTTTACCACCACAATCAACCTCGTACATTTCCTTACCAAGCTGGTATGCCACCTCATCACAGTAAACGTTATCCACGAAAACCTACAGAGGGCAAATCCATCAAATTAGTGGAATAAAGAGATTAAAAGAAGTTTAGGGTAATTGAAGCTTTAAAGATAAGTAGAATATCAATCGCAATTTCAAATTGAGAAACTATTTAAAAACTATTAGAAGCTTTCAAGGTAATCTCACCTGAGCTTTGTCGATCCTATTTTGGCAGCAGTCCAACCTGTTGTAAATCGTAACCTTGTTCACAGCGGACTTCTGAGCAAGAGTACCGTCCCAATATAGTGTATGTACTAAGAGCGCCAACTTGTGGGTGAGATTTTATGTCTCAAAACCCAACATATTATACACCATTGGAAAGGTCTCATTGAGTAGAGTCATATGGTACCAAGTGTTGGGGAAATGGCTGCTCCTAGCGAAAGTTATAGCCCGTCAAAGTCCCAAAATTGTCACTTCAGAAAATTGGGCGGGACATCGTGTTCTTAAACTTTTTGACAAATTTTTTTAACAGCATATTGTTTATCACAGTTTTTTACACAAGATTTGCTGTATGCCGTAATTTTTAATCCATTATTAGAGTCACAATCAATTTATTTTGTCAACAGAGTTTGAAATACTTGAAGAGACAATTGATATTCCGCGTGGTTCGCGGCGCGCTTCTTTGTCTACAAATTGTTAAATTGCGCGTTACAATTCCGAGTAACGTAGCAGAAGACGTTTCCCTGAATTTTGTTGGGGATTTTGTAGGGGATTTGACACGGATTTCAAATCCCCTAAAAATAGTTTCGAATTGTCCCTGGGAGTGGCCTGAGTGGGTCAAGACGTCGAAAATTAGTTTCTCTGGTTGTTGGGGTCAGGTACTTCCTATCTAACCTCCAAATCATGTTCCAAATACCCCGGAACATAAATCTCCTACAGGGGTAAAGATTCTCATTCTTCATTGATTTGACCTGGATTTCAGTAATTTTGGGGTGGGCGAGGCCCCTGGGAGTGGCCTGAGTGAGTCAAGATGTCGAAACTCGGTCTTTCTGATGCAGTTTGGGACAGGTAATAACTATTAAACATCCTAAACATGTTCCAAATACCCCGGAACATAAACCCTATACAAGGGTAAAGATTCTCATTCTTGATTTGACCTGGATTTCAGTAATTTTGGGGTGGGCGTGGCCCCTGGGAGTGGCCTGAGTGGGTCAAGATGTCGAAACTCGGTTTTTCTAATTGTTAGGGACAAGTACTAACCATTAAACCACCTGAAAATGTTCCAAATACCAGGGAACTCATACAAGTGTGAAATCCCCTACACAAATCAAGGAAACGTGCTCTCCCGAGCAGCGCACGAACAATGCCAGAGTGCATTCTCGGTTTTTGTGTCGAATGTGAATCTAACTTATTCTGAAACTAGTTATTAACAACTATAATTGGAATTAATTGTAGAGAGTTCAGCTAGTAATTAGCCACGTCACTAATTACTTAATTAACCAATACATAAATTAATGAAATGGTGGCCTGGTGCCCCCATTTATGGCCTGCTTGCTCCCAACTGTATCTAGAGCCGTTTGTTAATAGAACGAGATCAGGTTATATCTTAAATCTTTATGGTATGCAACTAGTATGCTGAAGTACACCCAAACATGCGAGGAATTTATTGAACATTTAAAGCACTAAAGACTATTGCTGTAATGCTGTCCGTATCCCTAATAGTGAGTATTAAAATATAGATTATAGGTATCTACCATTTCACAAGTCTTAGTTCCCGAATTTGTTCTGACATCGAGTGAATCGTAATTGTAATCAGTACAATACAAGATGAATTTAGCATCATTTTAGTTTGATTTCTGTTGCCGGTCTAGAAGATGTTCGTGATATTGCGCATAATTGATCGAAGTATAATGTTTGATTCCATCGTATGTGGTGCATACCTTACAATACATATTTATGTGGATCATAATTAGCGGGGATCGAAATTATGGGGGAACGAAAATATGGGGATTTTTTTCAGAAATTCAGTAATTCAATACGAAATTTCAGAAATTCAGTACGAAAATATGGGGATTTTTTCCCATTTTTTCCAAAAATCCCCGAATTTCGTACCATATAAATATGTCTCGACCTTTATTTTACTCTAAAGACATACTAGAAAATCCGTTGTCACAGGGAGGAAGCTAGAAATCAATTTTTATCGTATCATAAAATTTAAATCACAACCGAAGATACATGCTATTATTTCGTAGAACACTCTAAACTCAACAGTAAATGATCGAAATTTAGCTCCAAATTCTTAACACGTGCACGTGCAAGTCTCCGCCTGCTTTACTATGCACGGGAGTGGTTGTACACACAAACAGAAATCAAATACATTACATATTGTGTAGTTATTGACTACTGATAACACATTTATAAATATGGCGAAATATCAAATATTATCAAAAATGTAAAACTTGTAAATTTGTCAAATTCATTAATTAGTCTCAACTGATATAAAAAATAAAGTAAAACATCGCAGCAATAAATACATAAGATGAAGACATTGACAGCTCTAATAATAGATCAGAAAAAGAAAAATGGCGTTATTTAATAAAAATCGAATCGAATAACTTAAACTACAGGTGCTAGGGCCCTTGTAAACAATCGTAATATCCTGTGAATTAAATCGATTGATTCTAATTGGTGTTCATCACTGATTAGAGGCAACAAAAGGATAAGCTAGTCAGCAGTAAATAGCAATGCATCAGTCAGCGAACGCCATCGATCGTAATGTGTCTTGCTCCAAGCTTTTAACACCTGAAATTATATGTTTTGAATAACAATTACACTTAAACAAAATAACGGAACTCAAAAAGCTATTACGTTACAATATCTTAATAAAATTCTGGGTAACTAATTTAATTAAAACCATACCAACATTGAACCTACGTCTTACAATGAGCGCTATAATTTTTAGAACATAACAGCTGATAACCACCTATAACAAGCATGAAGCACGTGATTAAAACCCACGATTAGGGTCGGGCAATCTATCACTACTACTGGTACCACTACCACTACCAGGTATGAGCGTAAGTTGCGTAACAAACTTAAGATGAAACAATTGATCTCTATGTAGCACTCTGCACTATATATATATACGTATCACTATTTTGCCTAGTATTACTGATAAGATGGTGATAAAAAGTAAGCACTTATTTTCTAAATAAAATGGTATTTACTTTAAATATCAGGATGGCAATTACTAGCCTGGGCTGATCTTCGTGATAATATATACAGTAAAACCCCGACTTACAGTACAGTTTGGGGAAAGATAAATAGTGCGGTAAATCAGAGTTTTCACTTTTTGGTCCCCTTGGCCGTCGGATCACATGGTTTCTCTCCGCACAGAATTGGTTCCCAATTAGTGGTCATGGACTATGGTTCACAAGTACTCAAGTGAGGGGTACTAAAACTGTGTAGGTTCAATGCTCTTTGACCAACATCAGAAACAAAACATTATTTACCGCCCCTTCTGTCACCAAGGATCGACCGGGACTGCTTTTTTGGCCGGGACTGGAAAGGAGTGCCGGAACCAGGTATACGCCGGGACCGGGATTCAGCCAGATTTGGGACCGGGATCATAGCTAAGAAAACCAGCACTTAACACTTACACTAAAATCTGGTATCCGCAACTGATAAAAAGCACAAGCACAGCTTACCCAACAAATTGGCACTTGACTCTGACAGTGTTTTGTTTATTAATTGGTAAATAATTTTGCTTTAAACTTCAGTTTTTCAAAAAATCCGGGATTAAACCGGGATCCCGGTCGAACCTTGTCTATCACTCCCTGTCATCTCTTAGCTCTCTGACACCTTATTGCTTAATGCTAAGATCCTAATTCCTAGCTTAACAATACGTAACACACTCATATGGAGTCTTTATTCTAGCTCGACGGTACTGTAAAACCACTAATTGGGAACCAATTCTATGCGGAGAGAAATCATGTGATCCGACGGGGACTAAAAAGTGAAAACTTTGATTTACTACATTTCTGTAGTATGTGCATCTCTTATTGCTAAAATTCGACGACTTATCTGCTACTTTGTGTCCGGTGCTATACAATTGTGAGTACGTTATGGAAGATGTGTACTTAGACTCTCTAATGTAGTCAAGTAAACATTTTGACCAGCTTTCAGATGCTTCTAATGATCTTGGTATTTGGGTTGAGGTAATGAAGACAATAAACTTTGATGAAGATAGTGATATCACATTCGAGAAGTTCAAGAAACCAAACAAGGACGTTTTAGTAAAGCACCTTTTTGATGCGTTTTAGGGTATTGTCTAATATCAGCGTATTCTCCACGAATAAAAAGATAGAGGAAATGAAAAGTGAAATCATCAGTGCTCAGAAATTAGCAAAAAATGCAGAGGAAACCCTTCCCCCAGCTCTGTCTCCACTTTCACGGCAGAAAACTTGAAGAAAGTAGTTTGGAATGTTGTAGCTGAAGAAGATCGCAGCAGATTGCAGAAATGTCTTCATTTTTAGTCTCAAGGAGGATACAGGAGAGAAACTTGACGATCAAATTTGTGATGTGTTTGAACAAATTGCAGAAAAGCCACGCTTCGAAGCTGCTAAAATTGGGAATATGTCTGCTGAAAAACCCAGAGCTGTCAAAGTATAATTTTGAAACTCTAGCACCGTTCATCAGATACT